CGTATCCACCGTTAATCATGGGGCTTGCTGGCTTTGCCTGACTGTTTTCCCTGGTTTGTATCTCTTCCCCCGATATCAAGAGGTCTCTATCTTTTTAAAAGTTAAATTATTGAAAGTGTTAAGTCAGTGCCCTTGAATGGAGTTTAATTGGGAAGCTAGGAAACTACAACCCCCCCTGAATCCCAACAGGAAGAGATGGTTTTCAAGTTGAGTGGGAAGAGTGCAGTTGCACTTCATTCTGGCTTGCAGCCTTCCCACTTGGGGAATCTGGTTGGTAACAGTGATAACAGGATTCTGGACCAGGTGGACCTTTGGCCTGATCCAGCAGAGGCCTGAAAGGCATCTCCTGGCTCTCCCCCTTCGCAAAGGTTCACTTGCTTGGAGGGGGAAGTAGTGAGAACTGGTGGGGAGGGTTGGGTGATGGTAGGAGCAGACCTCACTATAACCCAGGCTTGCATTTGAAGGTTCATAATGGGATGTGGAATTCGGAGCCAGGGCTGTTTGAAGCTCTCCCTTTCCCCCTCTCACCAGTTCCTGCTGGGAGTTGCTATCACCAGGGCCGTGGCTTCGGAAGACGGCGAGCGCCTGCATGCATATCTCAGTGGCAGAGATGAACTTCACTTTCTATCATCTCCAAATAAAGGATGCTGGGTCTCAGAGAAATGCCTTCCCTGAAACCGTGGGGAATTTGAAGAGGGCTAGGTGAACTATAGGTCTGACTCGGTATAAGAAGAGATAGGGATATTGATAGAGATATAGATATAGATTATAGATAGCCTAGAAAGGAGAGGAGCAACATAGTACAAAACCATCCTTATAGCAGTTGGGACTGAACCTCCAATTCTGCACCTCGTTTGCAATTGGTAAAATGGTGTGTGTGTGTGTGTGTGTGTGTGTGTGTATCTGGGTATCTGGGTGGTTTTCCAGTATGGGTCCCCAAATGGGTGCAAAATAGGGTGAAGGTGATGGTCCCTACACAGGATGAAGTCCCTGGAAGGGCCTTTTCAGTGGCCTGCCTATTGCTTTGCCCACTGAGGTGCATCTGAGCACATAGCTGCTTCTTTTAGGAAATGGGTGAAGACACACCTCTTCCAACAGGCTTTTGGGTGAATGGCTGAAATAATTTATGAATAATTTGCCACAAATGCATACTATGGTTTGTATCCATATAGCTTTCGTTTTTGTGTATTTTATGTATATTACATTATGCATGTATGTTGTGTTGTTTGTCATATTGCTATGTTTCAAAACTCCCCGTGGCCTTTTGATGAAGCACTATATATAAATTTCTTAATTAAATGAATAATCTTGTGGATGGCAGCAGCACTCCCATTCTTCCTGCCTCACCATTTTTTTAAAAAAAATATCCCCTTGGAATGACTATATGTCATGATGGAACAGATTTCTAAACAACCTTTAAAAAAATGGGGGGGGGGGCGTTTTACAAGCACCCAAAGGAGTATTGCTGTTGCAAAATAGAAGACAGCAAAACACTGTTAAAAAGTAAGGTTGTTCTCCTCTCTTTTTGGCCTCCAAAGGGAACCTTTAGCTCAGCCTTAATTGGAATATCATCCTTAGGGTTTCTTTCTTTTCTTCCTTTTTTCTTTTGGTTCACCATTGTTAGCAGCACGAAGAGCAAATCTTTTCCTGCATAAGCCGTGACCTTGAGACTTTTACGTTGCGATCTTTTGGTGTGTGTGTGTGTGTGTGTTCTGAGAATGAAACATTCAAACCATTTCCAGTGTGGCTGGGATTTCGTTTTTGTTTAACACTTTCTGGGCCATGTCGCTGGCAGCTCGCAACACTGCGACATTGTGGGCTGGAGAGAATGAAACCCACCAGTCTGGCTGCATTGTGGGGAGTTAATGAATCGCAAAAAAAACTAACTAACTTGTGTCTGGTTCAGTTGCCCCAAGGGATGGGGATGGGATGGCAAGGTTGGAATTCTGTGGCATTGTATTTAAGGGCTAATGATGTTCCTAATGCTTGCTGGGAGCCCAAATGGAGGGTTTTGCCTCCTCCCCAAACAACAACCTTCCTTTTAAAGCTGGGGCTAACATCTCAAGTTGCTTTCACTCACCAAGCTGTGTAAGAGAAAACCTACAATTGCCAGAATGCTTATGGGTATTACAAACCCTTTCCCCTGTTTCTTCATGGCATAGAATAGCTTTCAAAACCACACAAGAAAATTTCAAAGGCCTTACATCTGCGGCTGTCTGCATGGTAGAGTTGTCAGCCTCTGATTCCAGTGTCATGTTGCTGCAACGTCTACAAAATAATGTGCCTTAAAATGCTGAGGTAATTGTCTATGGCGGTCTTTGTATGTGAGGTGGTCAGATTTGCCTGGTTCTGGCCTGCAGAGTTCTGGAGTTATTTTGCTCTGCCAGACTGGAATGAATGTCAGAAATGGAGATAGATTCTTCAGTCCCTGGCGGGCACCCTTAGAGAGAACTGCTGTGATTAGACCTCTTAGTACGTACCTTAAGGCTTTGGGCAGAGGAAGGGGGCATAATCTTCATTGCCTCCTCACCTCATCAGAGACCCCAGATGAAGGCTGGTGGAACCTTTTTCAACCCAAGGGCCACATTCAACCATGCAAAAGCAAAATGTTTTACAGGCACACACCAACACATGCGCTCCTCCAGCATTCGTTCAGGCCAACGTGAAGAATAGTCACAGTTCAAGGGCACTTTCCAGTCATCAAAAACACCTGTAGAAGGTAGAGATCAGTGAAGGGTGTGACCTGGGAAGAGGGATATGTAGCCTGAGGAGGCGTTTTGGGAAGAGATATTTCCTGGACCCTTCAATCCCAGCTTGTTCACTGAGGTCATCTGCAGGAACATCATTGACTATTCCCCACATGAGGTTTGTTTGGTAACATGGAGAAATCCTAAGCTGAACACTTTCCCTTTCTGCCAGGCCTAGGTGGGCAATTGAGAATACATCCTTCTACAGTGGTTTACTGGTGTTCATTTTCCGCATTGTTTTGTTTTGCTTTGAACTTCCTGATGCTTCTACTGCATGGTTTTATTGCTATAAACCACTCTCATATATTTTCATGATGTAGCATTACGCGAAAGTTAAATAAGTACGTAAGTAAGTAAGTAAGTAAGTAAGTAAGTAAGAGTCCTAAGGGACAGAAAGAGACACCCTGAAGGCCACATCCAGCTCCCAAGGCATGAAGCTCCCCAGCCCATATGAGCAGGTGAACCCAGGGCTCTGGGTTGGCTCTGAGCCACATTAGACCTCTTCCTTGAGATCTGTGGCTTATCAAAGGAGTGGCAAAATATCCCACATGCTACCTTTTTACTGCATCGGAGTCTCTTCCCAGGATTGGTCCACAGCCTTCCATAATTCAGTGGGATTTAGTTCTTTCAGTCCAGCCAACTCCTAAGGTTTTGCCCCCTGAGGACGGCCAGGGTGGCATTTGGCAGCGTGGATAATTCACATTGGAAACTGCAAATCAGATATATCTACAGCATCTTCGCATCAGTGAGACGTCTCCGGTTCCAAGGAATCCGCCATTCCTCTACATATGACACTGAACACTTAATTTTAAAAAACCCTGGTTTTTAAATAACCTTATTGCAGACTTAATCCTCCAGGTCCAACAGTGCAATATAAGTAGAATTCGTGTTCTTAAGAATGTATAATTCATACATTATGATTCTCTCCCCACCCTCTCTCGCCCCTCCACCCCGAGCACATTAGCCTAGTTAATTTTTTTCTTTTCAGAAAATAAGCAACGTTTTCTGGGGGTGGTTACCCAAAAATCAGTTCTTTTCAGAGTCAATTGAAATTGCTGGAATGCCTTCGTAGAAAATTGGAATTAACAGCTATTTATGATTAGGCCTATATTATAATTCTCCCAGAGCCTGTTTAATCAAAAGGCAGATTAGTTATCTGCACTGTGGTGCATCTGTGCATTTTGATAGCTTTCCTACAATGGTGGGGTGAATGGGTCCCGGAGTAACGCAGGCAGATTTTCCTGTATTTGATGGAGAGGGTGTTCCTTTCATACTTCACATTAGCCAAAATGGCCACTGCAAAAGGTCACTGCACTTGCTTGAATGTATACTTAAGAGTTTTGCATAGAAATGTCGCAAACTACGCTTCGTGCATTTCATAGCCTTTTGGTTGCACTGCTTATAATGTATATTCTCTCTGCATATGAATGTGTATGTATGTATAAATAAGGTATCTGCCAACCGAGCATAACACTTCATGTGTCTGAAATAGTCTCAAATCCACAAAGACTTATGCCATCTGTTAGTCTAGTGCCACAAGGCTCTTTGTGTGTGTGCCTTGCGAAGAATAGTTTATGCTGCCCTCCTTGGTTAGACCCCAACTGGAGTCCTGTGTTCAGTTCTCGGCACCACAGTTTAAGAAGGATATTGACAAGCTGGAAGGTGTGCAGAACCTTTATCTAAAATTTGGACAGAACCTTATATAAAATCCACTTTCCAGTTGTTCACTCTTTAGCTATTTACTGTATGCTTTTGCTTACTCTTGGGACGTTGTCTGAAGCCTGTGCAGGTAAAGGGATGCTTGATGGAATCCATTTTGTGGGGGAATGGCAATGTTAACAGACCTGATCCACACACCCCCATCTGTTGTGCGGATCAGAACACAGCCCCTCCTTTGGATTTCACATGCCTTTGAAGTTCTTCGGTCAAATGATATTACCAAAATGCACGTTGAATGTGAGAAAATATGTCAAAGAAAATAATAATTAAATGTGTGTTTTTCTTACCTATTCATTCCTCCAACCCTCCCCATGAAGAAATAGCAGATTGAATTGGATACAGGACAGAACAAAGTTAATAAAAGTCACATAGGTATGATGCACCCATACCTATGTGTGGGTCAAGAGAACCATGTTGCATTTGCAAAGGGTTTGTAGGCCAGCAATGCTCAAGTTCAAGCAGATTCGGAATGTGTGGCCAGGGTGTGTGCCATCATCCTTCTCACTTCTTCTTTTTTCCCAATCTCCTTGGCAGCTCCCCCCACCTTCACAGAAACTCCCCCCCAATACGTAGAGGCGAAGGAAGGCGGCAGCATTACACTCACCTGCATGGCTTTCGGGAACCCTAAGCCAACCGTCACCTGGCTGAAAGAGGGGGATCTCTTAGGTGCCAACAATAAATATCAGGTAAGGTCATGCTCAGAAGGGCCCCAAGGCTCAAGGATGGAGGAAATCCTCTGCATGCATAATGTAAAGGTAAAGGGACCCCTGACCATTTGGTTCCAGTCGTCGCTGACTCTGGGGTTGCGACGCTCATCTCGCTTTACTGGCCAAGGGAGCCGGCGTACAGCTTCCGGGTCATGTGGCCAGCATGACTAAGCCACTTCTGGCGAACCAGAGCCGTTTACCTTCCTGCTGTAGCGGTATCAATTTATCTACTTGCATTTTGACGTGCTTTCGAACTGCTAGGTTGGCAGGAGCAGGGACCGAGCAACGGGAGCTCACCCCGTCACGGGGATTCGAACCGCCAACCTTCTGATCGACAAGTCCTAGGCTCTGTGGTTTAACCCACAGCGCCACCCGTGCCCCATGCCTAATGTAGGGAGGTACAATTTCCCGCACCACCACATTCAATGGAATGTGGGTAGGATGGCTAGGAAAGAACCCAGGATGAGGCTTGGAGAGCTGCTGGTGATCCAAGCATGCTGTACTGGGCTAATGTAAGAACATGAGAGGGGTCATGTCTTGTCCAGCATCCTGTTTTCTCTTTTTGGATGGCTCTGTTTTCGCTTCCAAAGCAGTAGGCACATAACCACTGAAGTTTGGTGTATTAGGGGAAATTGCAAGAGAGATTCTCTGTCAGCTTCACCAGTAAGGCAAATAAATTTGCCAGCCATATTACCTACCTACCTATACATGGCAGGCACTTGATAATTCTCCTGATCTTGTGATTCCAAGGAAACAGTACATTTAACCCCTGGATGGCCACAGGGTACCGCTATTGGATTTTCAAGTATTTACCAGCTGACATTCATGGACTTACTGTCCTGAGAACCTTCTGAAATGCAATGCCCAAATCGGGAAGGATTCACACATCAATTAGCAGTGCCTGTGGCACTGAACACCCTTTTACTGTTTTCGGTTTTTAAAAAAAACACAAAAAAACACTATGCATTTCTAAATATGTCATGTTTGCTGTCTTGAGCTATGACAATCGCCCCACGGGGTGCAAAGCTCCGTCATACCCTCATCAAAATCTCACAGAGAGGACCACCCTGTTTCATCCTTTCTCATAAATGCTCTCTTCTCCCCCACCCCACGGAAAAGCCTCTGTCCTTTGCTCAGCCAGGAATTCCATCTGTATGAATTGTAATTGGCAAATCAGGCATTGGAATTGGTACCGGCACCAACGAGAATAATTAGGAGTCATTTGTTAATGAGCTGAAATGGAAGGGTGAAGTGAAATGAAGCTTCGCGTTGGCAGCGGGGTGGAAGAGGATGGATCAAAGGTGGAGGAAATAATGCATGCATTGTCTGTATGCTCACTTCACACTTGTGCTAAACAAAGCAACGTGGGAATAAAAGTATGGTAGCTTAAGTGACCCTGCAGTGGGCTAGGCTGTTCACAGTGTTATGGCAGGATGAGGTGGGATTATCATATCCCCATTCAGAAAGGGGCTTAGGTGCCCCCTAATATTCGTTCCACACGTGTAAGAAATCGATCTTTGTGTGTGGCAGCACCCACGCTTTGGAACTCCCTGCCTATTGACATCAGCAGGTGCCTCCGCTGTACTCATTTTGGTGCCCACATAAAACATTTGTTTGTTTCAGCAAGCCTGTCCACACCTGCAGAAGTTACATGTATGGGTTTCTTTATTTCATTCTATAACATGTGTAAAACAGGGGGAATAATTATAACGATGGATGAAGTTTAAAATACGAAAAGCTAAACTGTAAGATAGGCACATACAATGAATGCAGTTGCACATGGGTTGAAATTAGAAGTTATGTGTGTTTTATGTCTTCTTAGCTGCTGTTGGTTTTATCTTCATGTTTTTAACTGTGTTTTTATTGAACACTTTAATGTTTCATGTTTGTTTCAACTGCTTGGAGGTTTCCTTCCAATCAAGCAGTGTAAAGTTTGTTAATCAGTTTGTTAAATAAACAAAGTTTGTTAAATAAACAAATGAATAGCTAAAATGATGCAGGAGGGTGTAGCCTCACACTCTGGGGGCCAAATGCAGGCCTCCAGCCTTTTCTGTCTGGCCCTTGGGACTTTCTCTAAACTCTACCTCCTCTCCCCATGCTCCACCCCTCCCTGGTCCCGCTTCATCCATGCACTCCTTGATCGCTTTTGCATGCCTGGAATGTGTTCTTCAAATGTGGTCATTCCTATTGCTTGCCTGGATGGAGGTGTGTGTGTGTGTTTCTGTGTATAAACCTCTGGTGCTCACTTGGCAGGAATGTAGCCAACAGTACAAAGGTAAGAGTTCTTTCCATTTGTGTCTCCCACTTTTTCCTCTGTTGGTTAGAGTGCTGGACTAGGACCTGGGAGACCAGAGTTCAAATCCTCACTCAGTCATAAAGCTCATTGAGTGTTTGGGGGCAAGTCACCGCATCTTAGCCTCACCTACCTCTCAGGGTTGTTGCGATTGTAAAATGTGGGGGGCACGCATGCCACCTTGGAGGAAAGATGGGGTGATGATGAACAAGAACATAGAGGTACAGTGTTGATTTAGCTATTCAGTACATGATGTCCATTGTAAGTCTCACTATAGTCATCCATGGGTTGATAGAGGAGCCACTGAACAATTTTCCATTTTCATGCAGGATACAAAATTGAACTAGATTGTGGCAAAGTCATTAATATGAGATTCATGCTTTCTGGCATGGGATACTGGTGTGTGTGTGTGTGTGTGTGTGACACCAGCTAGAAATGGTCTAGATGCATATTTTTTAGAAATGCAAATAGCAGCCATTGTGGGAGCGTGGTGATGATCAGGGAGGTGGTGTTTTAACACTTTCCTCCCCTGCCTGTCAAAAAATGCCCCTCTGAAGCTGCTATTTGCATTGGGAAGGAATGAAAGCTTGCAGTTAATGCTGCACATAGGTTTAGCTGGGGTGTGCGTGTGTGTTCATGCACATGTTTGTATCTGCAATGGTTTTGGGTGACGAACTTTCATTCTCTTTTTTTCTCCCTCTTCTTCAGGTTAGTGATGGGAGTCTGACTGTTGTTTCCGTTAGTCGGGATGACCGGGGCGCTTACACCTGCCGGGCTTATAGCATCCAGGGAGAGGCTGTGCACACTACCCGCTTGCTTGTCCAAGGTAACTAGCTGGAGAGCCCTTATGGGCTCCCTAGAACAGGAGTGTGGAACCTGGTGCTCTAGAGACATTGCTGGACTCCCAACTTCCATCAGCCCCAGCCAGCATGGCCACTAGGAAGGGATGATGGGAGTTGCAGTCCAGCAGCAGCTTGGGGGTATCCATTTGGTGCTACAACTGATGCTTGCTTCAGCAGCATATTTTACTTAATTATATTTGTTTTAGGTCTTATATTTCGCTTTTTGTCCTGTATGACCCTGTGCAATGGCTGCATTGTTTATTCTTTTTAGGAAGCCACTGAAACCTGAGTTGTTTAGGAGTTGTTGCCTAGTGTACGATTGAAGTCGTTAGAGAAATGCCTTAGTGGCTAACGGATGAAGACTGTTCTTCTGACTTTTCTGTTTCACGGCACGAACAGTGGCTTCCTGTAGGTGGTTTTTATTTACTCCTGTGTAGGGAAGTAAAATGCTGGTTTGGGGACAGTGTTGGAATTGGGCTGTGTGTGGAATCTGCCTTTCAGCCCTGATTATTCGTGGTCCTGTATTTCTCAGACAGGAAATTGCATGTGCAGATTTGTACAATGTGCTGTTTTATGTAGAGAGAGGCTTGCTGCATCCCTAAAAGTCTTGGCCACAAATGCTTTTGCAGGGGGTTGAACTAGCTGAGATTCCTCTCTTACGGGGGTTGGACTAGATGACCCTTGGGGTCCCTTCCAACTCTATGATTCTGAGTTAGCATCGTCCACCCTGTCTTCCTATGTGCTCTCTGGCACGGGTGGGAGAACCTGCAGCCTTCCAAGCATTGCTGGACTAAGACTCCCATCATCCCTGACCATCAGCTATGCTGGCTGGAGATGATGGGAGATGGAGTCCAACCGGCCTCCCCACTTGTGCTTCCTAGACTTTTCTTAGTGCCTCCTGCTAAAAGAATAGTTAACAGCAGCGTCTGTTGAAGGTGACCCTGAGCATGTGGCCACATAACCTTCAGCCAGTGAGATGAGCCTCTTTCCCAACCCTCCATTAAAAAAAGACCCCCTCCACAATGCCATCAATAAATAAACAAGAGCATTAAGTCCAGACCTCAGACATCTAAAAAGCGCTGAAGGCTGCTAGCTCAGCTGAACAACCCAAGGAATGCAAAAGAGGAGCAGTGGGTCGTGTGTGTGTGTGTGTGTGTGTGTGTGTGTAAAAGAGCAGAGGCCTGATGCCTCCTTGTCCTGCATGGGAGACAAAAGGTTTCGCAGAAGGCAGGTGGAGCCCAAACTGGCAGCCTTGGCCTTGCCTTGAGGGGAGAGGGGGAGCGTTTTGTATTGATTTCCTGTGTCTGCATCAATAGTATTAACTTCCCTTCCCGCTCCCTTCCTCCTGCTTGCTTAACAGCTGTTCTGCAAGCTGGATTTGTCTGTGCATTGATTTTTATTGTTGCAGTTGGGTCCCTCCTGTTCTTTAAGAGCTGGGGCAGCTCGCGGTTCGAGTTTGCAGCATCACCATTTTAAAAACAGGGAGGGAACAGAAAGAGCAAAAGAAATAAAGAAGGGAGAAATAATTCTGCAGACAGATCCAGAAGAGCACGGGCTACTTCTCTTCCCCTGGTTTCTTTTGGCAGCAATACAGAGAACAGCTAGTGGGTTCTGATGGGAGTCCCCTTAGGGGAAGAGAGATGACATTTTGTGTTCCCCCAGCTGTCAGTCCTCCAGGTCAATATGTGAGGCCACCTGCAACCCTTGTCCTGCCCTTGCTGATGGCATATTTTCTTGGAAGGGCTCAGGCTATTCTGGGTTCACTGGCCAGTGGATGAGGCCACAGTGTCCTGTGACTCACGCTGTCTGTTCTTGACTGGCAGCGGGTCTGCGTAAGTGGCCATTCCAAGCCATTTAAAGGTTCTGATTTCAAAGAACACGCTCAGCCAGTGAGGTGCAGCCCCTTTTGAAGACTCATTGCCCCATTTGGAGGGTAACATTTTGGAGCAGTGATAAGTTGCATTGTGGGTATGCTTTGGAGTGCCCAAAGATCTGCTTCATGCTGCAACAAAATGTTGTGGCGTGTCCTCACCTCCCAGGAACACAGGAAGCTTCCTTGTATGTAGTCAGACGCTTGGCTCATCTTGCTCAACACTCTCTCTACTTACAGTTGCTGTTCAGGGTTTCAGACAGGAGGCATTCTCAGCCCTAGCTGGGGATTGAACCTGGGACTTTATGCATTCAAAGGAGATGCTCTACCACTGAGTTTTGGCCTGCAGCTCTTCAGGAGTGCTCTTGATCAGGGTTCCTCCCCAACAGCCTTGCTTGACTACTGGATATTAAGGAGCTCAAACTGGGCTGGGTGGTGGAGAGTGTTCCAACTAACACACAACATTCAGTAGTTACTGAGCATGCCCCTCCACTTGTTTTTTGGGGGTACCTTGGATTTTTTTTTTTAAAGATTCTCTTGAACTTCTGCAAGCCTTGGGATTCTTCAAAATATGTTAGGTGGGTCCCCCCCCCAAGTATATTATTTGTATTTGTGGCATCTTTGCGGTACGTGTGTGACACCCCCCAGCTATGTGACAGTCACTCCAAGGCTCCCTTGCAAAGTTATTAATGCAGGGCAGACAGCTGTCACCACCCTCTTTTATTGGAAGCAAAAGGTTTCTGTCTTTTAAAGAAGAGGAAATGATCTATGTCCTGCAAAACTGTCCTCTTCTGCGCAGTTGTTAAATCTGCAGGAGCCCTGACCTCCTTCTCAGCTGGCCACCCCAGCTTTAAAAAAAGAACTCCCAGGCCTTTTCAGACACCGCAAATGTGTAAGTGGCATTCGTCTGTCATGATGGCAGCTAATGGCCCTGCATTCCATTAGTATTAAAGAAAAATCCATTTAATTGGAACACAATTGTGCATGGGCCTGCCATCCTGATTGAACAGCCATCCTGGTTTATAGGCAGACTGTTTTAATTCACACCCTCCCTCCAAAGTCTGGAGAGTCTTAAAATGAAAAATAGCCGTTTTTTGTTTCTTGTTTTTAACGGTGCATGCACAACTTTCCTTCATGAACAAAGCAAAAACCTATTTTAATCTAGCCAACATTTGCTCCTGGAGAGGAGAGTGTAAAATTTGCAAGAGCAGAAATGTTGTTCTGTGCAAATAATGCTGATTTAAAGCAGTGTTTGCAACCTCACAGGCCAAGCCTTTGCCTACCTGATTTTGGATTACAACTCCCATCATTACTGACCACTGGCCAGCACTCTCCCAGGATTCTGACTGTTTAAAGTGGTATCACAGTGCTTTAAATGTATGGTGTAATAGAGTCACACCCAGGCCATGATTTGTATGTACTTGCATATACACACAAAGTTGTCTTATTTGAATCCCCACAGAATTCGATTTTCTAGTGACAGATAACCTCTTTGTAGCCTTTTAAGCATGCCCCTTATTACATATAGAAGAGGAAAATGCCTGACTTAGGGGCCAACTTCCACGCAAACCCCAGAACCCTTTGCAACTGCTCCCTTCATCTGTCTCGAGGACAGGAAACATGATAGCCATGAGGACTAGCCTCTTTACTTTTCTGTAGGATCTGGGTGTTTCAAGCACCCATGGTGGTTCTGCAGCAGCCTTGCTGAGAAATGCTGTATATTCTGAATCTATGCCATGTGGTGACTGACACATAGATACATAAACATTCATTTCCCATCTAGCTCTGAGGGGAAAACGTGGCCATTGTTAACACCCCCGTAATAATTCTTTTCAATCTAAAAATGGCCCTTTTCCAAATGTTGAGATTGGGCTATAGATAATCATAGTAATAAGCATTTTCCTAGCACTTCGGAAAATTGAAAGCAACTCATAACATCTTGATAATCGTGACCACAAACCTCTGTAGCAAGCCAACATTATCCTAGTATTCTAGATTTGGAGTTGGGAATTTGGGAGATGGCTGCAATATTGAGCCAGGCTAATGGTCCAGCTAGCTCATTATTGCGCACAACAGGTGCCTTCACTTTTCTCAGTCCCACTTTTAACCCAAACATGCATTTGGGGACCAATTTCTTAATATTTCACCCTACATTTGCATGGTGGCAATGCTCTTCTTGTTGCTCATCTTGGATCAGGCTGTGACCCACTAATGGGTCCCAGCCCTCCAGTTCAAAACCTGTAGTCTACATTGGAATTTGCAAACATTGGCTGTAGGTGGGAAAAGTCTCTCTAGTAGCCAATGTCTGCAAATAACAGCAACTGAGGCTGCTTGCTTTGGCTGAAGAGCAATGGGTCAAATCCTGTTTTGGCTGCGAGCAGCTCTTCCCTGCTGGGGACTTGCATGTGCAACCAAAACAGAACTGAACCCCCGCTTCCTTCCATCACCTGAGTGATATCAGCTGATTGACGATCCTGCGTGATTTGGGGAGAACAGCCTTGTGGGCCAAATTGGATCCCCTGGTTGGCCAACATTGGCCCATGGCCTGGAATCTCCACACAGTGACTGGCAATGGCTCTGCAGAGTATCAGACAGAGCTCTCCCAGTCCTTACCTGGAGATGGTTGAGATTGAATCTGGGGCCTCCTGCATACAAAGCAAGGCTCTGCCCTGAGCTACGGCCCAGTACCCATTGAGGTGGGATTGAGGAGTTGAGGCTGAGAAAGAGTAGTTTGCCTTAAGCACCTTTTGAGAGTAAGAAGTTCAGATTGATCAGTTCCCGTGCTGGACCAGATGGGTCCTTTGGCCTGATCCAATGGGGGTGCTTCCTATGTTCTTACGGCAAAGTCGTCTCAGGGCCAGATGCACCAACTCAAAAGTACACAGTACGAGGGAGGAATTCAGAGTGGAGCTGTGCTGGATTATGTGACCTGGGCGAAATGCCAAGAGTTTGTGTTCGTTAGGCACGGTGGCTCTTCTTGCTCTCGTTCCCTGCACCGTTAAGTCAGCCGCTCTTAGCAATGAGCTCATCTTCCCTTTCTTGGCTGCTGAGGTAACTGTTTGTCTCCTGCTCTCCCACAGGACCCCCTTTCATCGTTTCCCCTCCAGAGAACATCACGGTTAACATCTCCCAGGATGCAATGTTCACCTGCCAGGCTGAGGCATATCCAGGCAACCTGACCTACACTTGGCACTGGGAAGACGAGAACGTCTACTTTAAGAAGTCAGTTTGGATTCTGTTTTCGGGTCTCTCTCTCTTTCTTGTCTGGTCTTGGTGAAGGATGTGGTTGGGAATGGGGCAGCTAGGCTGAGCAAGCAGCCTCAGTTCTCTTTTCAAAGGACTGCACACTCCAGCAGGAGGCCCTTGGAATCATCCACTAACAGTTATTCATTTTTAATTCAGTGCATTTGACACATACGTTTGATGGCAGGTTTGATGGAAAGGATCAACCCCCTTCCCCAATGCTGTGATCCTGATTGAATTTGCCTCCCTGCCCAAACTAGCTGTTCAGTTGTTGTCAAAGCCATGGGAGATCCCAAGTATGACTCTGGTTTTGTGCTTAAGTCCTTTGTGCTGTGCTGCAAACCTGTCAATATCGGGAGTCTGTGTAGTCAGGAGATGTCTGCCTCTTGCCCATCATGCAGTTCACATTCAGTGGTGTTAAATCATTCATAATTGAGCCTAGGAAGCTGCCATTTACTGAGTCAGAGCCTTGGCCCATCTAGCTCAGTACTCGCCACATTGGCTGGAAGCAGCTCTCCAGGTTTTCAGACATGATTATCTTCCCAGCCTTACCTGGTGATGCCCGGGGATTGAACATGGGACCTTCTGCATGCAAGGCGCATGCTCTAATACTGAGCTATGTTCCTTCTGCTACACACTGGATACCCCCTTCTCCCTGAGCCTGTCGTTGCTCACTTGTCCTCTCTTTCACTCCTTTTCCATTGCAGCGACCTAAAGCTGAGGGTTCGGATCCTGATTGATGGGACGCTGATCATCTTCCGAGTCAAGCCTGAAGACGCTGGAAAATACACCTGCATTCCAAGCAACAGCCTGGGGCGCTCGCCATCAGCCTCTGCCTACCTGACTGTGCAGTGTGAGTGCGTTTGTCTGGGGTGAATGGAGGCTGCCTGGGTGATGAGCTCCCAGACACAGGAGGACAGTCAATGACATGCTTACTGGCATGAGAAATGTCGGCAGCGGCATCCCTGTGCAGCCTCCCTGTAACTTTTTACGGGCACTGAGATGACTGTGTTGGCACAACGTCAGCCCAGAGAGTGGAGAATAAATTGTTCCTAAATTACTGGGACTGACGAGGCACAAGCTGATCAGTGCGGTTGCTGGGTTAATTGCTTTGTTTAATGCAATGCTACCTAGCCCTGCCATATTGTACCAAGCAGCAGATGCTTCAGAGTTAGAGTATCATACGAGTATTAGATGTCCCCGGGGAGGGTTAAGCTGCCACTCCTTGCCTAGGCAGGATGCACACCCATCAGCTTTTATTTAATTCTTTGTTTTTAAACCAGTGCATGCAATCTGCTAGGCGCTTGGCCAGCATTGCTTCCTGCAGCCCTCCACCCCCCAAACAGGACACAGTTTAACCCCTCACTCACTCACTCACTCTCTCTCACACACACACGTAAAATGTTGTCCTGCTCTGCAGGTCATGGCAGCCATGCCAACTGCAGTGTGAGGAGCAGCAGGCTGGCCCAGGCAGACTGGCTGTGCATTGGGGTTTAATGGGGCGAAGGGAACTCCCTTCAGGCTGTGATTCAGTGAGCACCTGTCTCCTCTCTGTTAAACTCACCTGGAGTGGAAAGAGGGGAGATGTGCTTCACAGTGCAGTTTAGCAAGCTGCTCTGTGAAGTGCCTCCCCCTCTGCTTTAAAAGGGGCTGGATGGTGGGGCGAGGGGAGAGGCTTGGTGAGGTGTAAAGGGAGGGGGCTTTGGTCAGATGTAGGGGAAGGGCAATTGCCAAAGGGGTAGGTAGGATTGTCGGAGTCCCTAGCGTGTGCTTGTGTATGTGTATACATTTGTTTCCAGGGGGTTTTCAAAAGCTGAACTATAGGTGAGATACCACACCGATCCTTGCAAACTCAAGTGCATCAGAATGGTTTTATATCTCTGTTACATTTGTTTTATCTCAAGGTGGCTGGTGAGAGCTGCCCTGCGGCTCCCAGACCCAGCCGTGTGAGTTGGATGTTAACCACAAGGCTGAGCTGGAAGGGACACAGTAGTTGTGCAGATGCCCTGGCACACTTGGCATGCCACTGCCTCTGAGAAGGAAGTTGGGGATCAATAGACGAGCAAGCAGCTTGGGAAAGGGCAGGCTTTTGCCTCCATGGTGAAAGCCCAAGGCATATAGTAACAACCAGCAGTATTCAGCAGGCACTGCCTGCAGCTCCTTGAAGCGACCCAGATGTTGGCTCATGGGTCATTGCTGTGCACTTTGACCACATATGACCACTTGCCCAAGCTAGTGCCCTCCCAGATAGTTTGGACTTCAACACCCATCATCATTTTTACAATTAAGTGGTATATAACTGTTAAAGAAAAGAAAATAGTGTTGCATTTGCAGTTAAGTTAGTGCTAGCCACAGTTTCCTTGAAACCAGGGTGTAACACTGGTTACTTCTAACCATGGTCTGCGTTAACCTTGGTGCAACACTACACCATTGCTTAAAAAGTAAACCACAGACAGCAGAGGGATTAATGCCAGAAAAGTGAGGAGGAGAAAGTGACTACGCCTGCAGCATGTTCCACATCTCCTAACTATGGTTACATCTTTGCCCAGAATTAAAACCTCTTCCTGGTTCTGGATTCACTGTTTGGACTTTGGCGCTTCATACGCATCTGCAACATGCTATGAACCTAGGAGGAAAGGAGCATCACTTTTAGGTTCCGGTTTTCCGGGTCACTTTTGCTCCAGTTCTTGTCTGGGAGGGAAAGCTGTCTCGTTCAGTGTTCCCCAAGTAGCTGTCAGATGGCAACGGCTTTTGGCCAGTCATTAATCAACCAAGTTGGATGCTGTCCAGTGACCTAGAAGTGAAAAAGCTCAGTGTCCCGTTACCAATCCCTTGAGCCTATGTTGATTACATTTCCTAAGACATGGCACTAAACTGTGTGTATACAAATCAAGTTCCTCATTATGCCCTGGATATGAATCTGGGTTACGATGCCACAGACGGCATCAGATGACCTTGATAAACGTTTCAGGCCTTGGTGGTTGTCAGCTGTTTGCAAAGTGTGATGGGCTGGGGGAGTGGTGTGTTTGTGTGCGCGCTGTGCAGTGCAGTGTGATCAGACAAAACCTCTGATTGAAAAATCCCTCTCCTTCTGGAGGATCTTACTCCCGTTCACAATTCATGTGCTGAGTGCCGCTGGAACACTGCTGCATGGGAATATGCAGGGCTCTTTTATGGATTTTAATCATTTGGTTTTTAATCTTTAATACCTCTGTTGTGTGGGTTTTTTCTTTTTTTAATTTTGTCCCTGGCAGGCTATCAAATTTGGAAAGCGAAAAGAAACGAACACAAAACCCTCTAAAGCCAGAATAATAAGGATTAATGCCCTCCCTCCTCCTTTTGACTTGTTCCCATCAATCACAGAAGCAGGGGGATCCAAAATCCCTGACAATGGTGGCGTCATTCAATCACTCTTGGTTTGACGCTAGGAATTACCCGTCGCCTTTTTTTTTTGCTCCCCACCCCCATCACCCAAGGGAAGGGGAGGAGAAAAACAAAAGTGAATGAATCTGGAATTCCCAAATAGTCAGTGGACCAGAAAGCGGAGAATGCAAAAGGAGGTTATAGTCTCTGTTCTGTAATACTGCTAATTGGACAAGGTTATGTAGCGCAAGGGAGCAGACACAGGAAGATGTGGAGGATGAGATTTGGAGGACTATGGTGCAGGATCCAGGCACGATGTTGCAATCAACCAGTTTTTGAACCAAGAACCTCATGGAGCCCCTTGAGAGGAACCCAGTCACTGTTGTAGAAGGAAGAACATTGTTGCCCCCCTGGGCTCTGGTGTGGCTCCGCCCTATGTCAGCTTATTGGTTCCTTCTGGCCTGGTCTGGCTATAAATACCTCCAGGTGAGGCCTGAGTTGTTGCCTAGGCAACAGACAGGCCTTGGCCTTGCCTGTGTGCTCTTCCAGCCTTACTCCAATTATTCCCTTCAGTCAGTTTTTGTCTTTCCCTGTATGGTCTGGTCTCTGCAAACTTGCTTTCCTGTCCATTCTGCCTTACCCCCTTGTTCCAGCTCTGCACTAGACAGATTTCTTGATTTAGGTCCTGACTTAGAACTGACTGTGCTATGCATTTGTCTCTGATCCCCATCTCTGCCCCCCAGTGATTTTGAGGAGTACAAACAAGGGCAGAGGGAAAACACTGCTCTGGGATTTTTTCTTTCTTTCCAGAGCAGGAGTGATAGTGTCATGTGCTGGACCACATGGGTAGCTGACAGGCCCTCCTTGCTCAGGCAAGTTAATGAGGTGGTATCGAGGGTTTCAAGTGTTGCTATGGTCTGTGGCAGATTAGCATCAGAGGAATGAAGGAAAATAGTGAAGCAGAGGCTGGGCACTTCTCTCTTTTTCTTTGATGGGGTTCCTGCTTCATGACACCTCCTTGCAAGATTGTTTCCATCTCTGATTAGAAGAACTGTTGCATTTCAGATCTGTTGTTAAAGCTCGGTATGTTTTACAACTTGAGCTTATGAAGCCAGAACTAAGTATCACTGAGTCAAATGGATCTTGCTTCCAGGATTACAGTCATGCTGCATAGTTGACCAATGCTGTGGACCCAGGTCTCCCCAGCCAAATTCCAACACTCTAACAATCACTTCACAACCCTTTGCCAACTCACTAGCCTAAGGATGTCAACTGATCCTAACAAAATGGGTATTGTGCTATATACACCTGCTATTCAAGGTGTACATGTGCATGGATTGTCAGTGGTGTCTGCATTTTTGAACTCTTGTTGGCTACGAAAGCTGTCATGATAAGCTCCTGCACTTAAAAATTGAATCCTAATGTCACTGGTCCCAAATCATGCTGCAACTCATGTTTCAGCTCTGCCATTCTCTCTAGTAAACCCACAGCCCTGTATCCACCACCAAGAGAGAGAGAGAGAGAGAGAGAGAGAGAGAGAGAGAGAGAGAAGGAAAATAAAGGGTGTACTTGTAGCTTGTAGGCACACTATGATGCAAAATTAGCCCATTGTTGTCAATGATGCTATGACCCTGATTCAGATCTTGCTGTGAAGAAGCATCCTGTTTGGCGATGGCTAAGCCTTTTGGTTAATCCCAAGGTTCAAGGACCCACTGTCATGTGGTGAGCTAGATCATGCTCATTTGGCCTCAACTCTTAGGAAAAGGCCATAGCACAACAGTAGATCAGATGCTTTGCATGCAAATGGTCCCAGTTTCAATCCGCACATCTTCCCACAAAACTGGGGAAGACCAGAGAATCTTTGCCAGTCAGTGCAGACAGTATACCAGCAGCCTCCCTCACAGTAAGCTTCTGATGTTCATAACTATTTGTCAGGTATTTTCCCCGTCCTTGTTGTCTTTTATGTTCCCCCCCACATGTGTTCCAAAATAGCCTCCTTTCCTTAGCTATGCAACTAAAGGTTTTAATACTGTCTCCTGTTCCCTTCCAATTATACTCCTCCAGCCGATCAGAGTGTCCCTGCCAGAGCAGAGAACTCCCAGCAAATTACTTTAGGTTGCCTTCCTTCCCTTTATTTTTTAAAAAAGTAATATCTAGTATTTAATGTTTTAAAAAACCCTTCTCTGTTGGTTCACTGCATGTTCTGTCTATTACAGGTAACTTCTTTATCCAAAGAAGCAGTGAAACCTCTTGGGTTAACAACAACAGCTAGAACTAAAAAGGAAATGTGTTTTTTTTAAAAATAAGGAAACTGAAAATTGATTCCTCTGTTATTATTGTGCTCAATTGAGAGTTCTCTGAATGTGGTAGTTTTCATATAGATAAATATATGTTTTTCTTCCCCCCACCTCCACTGGTTGCTGAGATTCCACCCAGGATTATAATACCCAGAGTTCCCTGCGGAGAGAGAATGACTGTTTTTAAGCAGTTTAAGGCTGTGGTATAGATATGGTATCTTTTTAATAACTGGGGGAAAAGGGATGAAACAAGGAGCAATATCCAATGTCATGTGAGGGGAAGCTTCCTTGCACAATGAGACTTCCTTTCTTCCCCTTGCAGCCCCCTTGCATGCCTCCCAAATCTGTCCCAGAATGTCCCCCAACCTCCAGGAGTAGATTTTTTTTGGGGGGGGAGATGCAGGCAGGATGAGAGGAAGGGGAAGTATAATGCCGCTTACGAAAAGCTGGACTGCAATCATATACTTACTTACCTGGAAGTAGCCCCTTTCATATTCTGTAAAACCTAGGGATGTTTAGAATTGCGCTGTTGAATATGTGCTCATTGAATCTCTCTTCTGCTTTACCCAGAATTCTTCTTCATTCTCCTGAGTGGGGGCTCCCACCTTACTGTAGCCTTGATTTTTATTTTATTTTAGGTGGCAGCTTGATGATGTACAACCCACCTTCCCAGCTATAAAAATAAAATAAGAATAACATGGAGAAATTGATCAAATTCCTTCCTTCCTTCCTTCCTTCCTTCCTTCCTTCCTTCCTTCCTTCCTTCTCTCTCTCTCTCTCTCTCTCTCTCTCTCACCTGGCGCAATGGGTCAATGCATCTGGCTGTTAACCAGATGGTTAGTGGTTTGAGCCAACTCTATGATTCTATGGTTACAGGGTTCATTGTATTTGAACAGGGACCTTCAAGTACACCTCAAATTCCACTCCATCTAACTCCCAGTGGGATGTACCAAAGCGGGTAACCTTGTTATCCCTTACCCCATTTTTAATTATAGTATAACTATCCTTCCTCAAATTTTATGCAAACAACTTTGGGAAAGGTGTGAGTTGCACCTGCTAAATGTTGGCTGGGAAAGGTTTATTTTACTTCTTGAGTAAGATGGCAAAGGATTTTAACGCTGATCATGGGTGTGTGTGTGAGAGAGAGAGAAGATGGAGGGGGCGGTGTGCCTATATTTCTCTCTCTCTCTCCCCTCCCTCCCTCCCTCCCTCCCTCCCTCCCTCTCCTTCTCCCTCCCTCCCTCCTGGCTGAAAAATGCTTCCATGCTCCTAGAGCTTAGCACAGATAGATTGAGATAAAACGTTTTTGGTGACGTAAGGGTCCATGTAAATGCTAAGTGTTGCTCTAATGGAACTGGCAGAGATAATGAGCACAAGGATAAAGGTCTCTGGAGGCCAGAGTTTTATGAATGTTACTGATTTAGTATGTGGGGTTTTGGACTCCATTATTAAAAACGTTGCTGACCTCTGTTCAATTAGGCCACAGTAGAAAGGTACAAGCTTGATGCTTGTCTGGAGGGTTCATATTTTAAAGCTCTTCATCCCTTCTGACTTATCCCATCCCAGATCCTGCCCGTGTGGTCAACATGCCACCCGTCATATACGTTCCTGTGGGGATACATGGATACATTCGCTGTCCAGTTGAGGCGGAACCTCCAGTTACCCTGGTCAAGTGGAACAAAGATGGACGCCCTCTGCACATTGAAAAGGTAGAAAGAACTCTTAGTTGTGTATGATTTTGTTTGTTTTAGGACTTCAGCTGTTTATTACTTGCATTAATATCTGGACTTTTCTTCAAGGAGCTCAGGGTGGCATGCAAGATTGTTCCCTTCCTGTTTTATTCCCACAATAGCCCTATGAGGTAGGCTAGGCTGAGATAGCGACCAACCTTCAGTAATGTTGGTGGGAGATTTGAAGCTGAATCTCCCCAGATCTGGTCTTGATCTACCACACTGATTTAATTATCCTGGTTGAAACTAGGTTTTGGTTGTTATCCTATACTTGCTTAGCTATGAGTATACCTTGTTGAACTCAATGGGTCTGCATCCAGTGTAGCACTAAGTTAATGCCTCTTAGCTGTATACATGTTCCGATGAAGAAATTCACCGTTGTTGCACAAGCAAATGCATAAACAGGTTGGTAGTAACCTTGTTGCATGACAGATGGTGCAATCTGTTGTGCAATGAATTTCCACTAGCACATCCATTGTGTTGGATTCCTTTGTTGCACAACATTAAACCTCATCTGTCTGCTAGGGCAAGAGGCATACAGTTGGTCAGAAATATATTTCTTACTGAAAAAGACACTTCCCCTTCTCCTGCTACTTTGCAGAACTCTTGGAAATTAAAAATGGGTGTCTTACCAGAAGAACATGTTCTAGCCCAAACACTGCATGTAGTTCTTCTTTGGTTTGGTTGGCCTCAGCTGGATTCCAACATGGCAGCAACAGCTGGAAAAAGCTGGAAAGTCAGGACTGGTCCTTTCTCAGGCTCTTCCAGCTTCCCCTCCAGCCTGTGAGAGCCCCCACCTGCGTGTCCCAACCTACTGGTTGAATACCTGTCCTGTAAGGAATGCCTTTTGCCAATTAGTGACCCACTGACCTACCCCCTTCCATGTGATCTCTGCCAATTTAGGCTGGGACACCCTTGTTGCATACGAAGATGCTGCACTTCTCCCCCCCTCCCCACACCATGTGAAAGTCTCTTGGCATTTAGAAGAGAACAATAATTTGGATTCTTCAATCTAATCAACAGCAATCTCTCCATCTAGGGTCTCATAGGGAGTTTATTCCTCTTGTCACTGTGGGAGATGAGCATCATTAATCTAACACTGGTGGAAGTATAACGGGTCATCTGGCAGATATTACTATATATGGGATGCTTAAAAGATCCTCTTTAATGAGACTCCGTCCTGCTATTACCTTGGTTTGAAAAATCCTATCAAGGACTTCATTCTTTTAAATATTTAAACAAAATACTCAATATTTAGAGTTTCCTTTAAATATTAACAGTTTAAAGATTATATTCTGACTGTTTCTAATGGAGTGTGTGTGCAGGGAAGTCATCTACTAATGTGATTCTCAACTTCAGGCATGATACTGTTGATGAACAGGGAAGGGTACAATCCAGCCAAAGCTGAACACTTGGAAGCCCTGTGGATTTCCATGGGGAAGATACTTTTTATGTGCTTAGCTCACTCATTGAAATCAGTGAGTGTTCATCATGCCCAATGTTTAGAAATATCATGCCCACTATTTGCCACCACAGACACATGATGTCTGTGGCTGAAGTGGAGGATAGGAACCCAATGGGTTGATCCAGTGCTGGGGAATCACTCCCGATATGGGTCAGGTGCCACGATCTCACATAGGCCCACCATTGGGAGAGGTGTTTTGGCCCATCGGTCTGCTTGTAGATTCTCAGACAGAGTCACCCTTTCTGGACCCCTTTAACGGGGTACTCGTGTGACTAAGGATCCAGCCCAATGCCTTATATGCAAAAGTTGTTACAGTTGCTATGAGGTAGGCGAAAGCAGGGCTTTTTTTCAACCAGAACTCAGTTCCAGTACCTCTCAGGTGGACACCATTGTCATTCTAAGAGAATGAAGGAGGCGTTCATGGTGAGTTCCTGCACCTCTTTTTCTAGAAAATAGCACTGGGCGAAAGTCTGCAAGCTGGCCAGTTCGCTTGTAGAAGAAAATTGCTCCTTGGCCCCGAATATGGTGACTAATTAACCATAGCAACGTCCTTACGCCAACTTGCCTGCTCCCCCACTGAGCAGACCTCTAACTGTCCGGGTGGGTGGTAAATCATGTGTTGGTCAACCAAGAGGGTGGTCTGCTCCAGGTCACCCTCCTAAATACCCCAGGGACAGGCAGGGCACAGCCCCCATGCCCATGCCCATATTGGCTTGTGGGAAATATACCGTACTAGCCTGTGCGCTACTCCAAGACCTTCTCCCTGCTTTTGCGGGAGGTGGGGGAATTCCCCCATCTCCCGCAAAAGTCCGCAGGAGGGAGAAGGGACTGACTCGGCCAGTCAGTCCCTTCTCCCTCCTTGGGGAAAAGCCCCCAAGAGCTGCGCGCTCTGTAAAGGCTGCGCGGCTCTTGCAGGCTTTTCTGCGAGGTGGGGGAATCCCCCCACCTCCTAGAGAAGCCAGCAAAGCCGTGCAGCCCCTTTAAAGAGCGCACGGCTTTTGCCTGCTTTTGCGGGAGGTGGGGGAATTCCCCCATCTCCCGCAAAAGCCCGCAGGAGGGAGAAGGGACTGACTCGGCCAGTCAGTCCCTTCTCCCTCCTTGGGGAAAAGCCCCCAAGAGCTGCGCGCTCTGTAAAGGCTGCGAGGCTCTTGCAGGCTTTTCTGCGAGGTGGGGGAATCCCCCCACCTCCTAGAAAAGCCAGCAAAGCCGTGCAGCCCCTTTAAAGAGCGCACAGCTTTTGCCTGCTTTTGCGGGAGGTGGGGGAATTCCCCCATCTCCCGCAAAAGCCCACAGGAGGGTTGGAGAGCAGCGGGAAGGCGTCGCGCGCCTTCCTGCTGCCCCCCATCCTCTGGGGCTGGCGATGGGGGAAGCGCTGCTTTCCCCCCGCCAGCCTCAAAGAGCAGACTCTCCTGGCTTCAGCGGAAGCAACGGGAAGCCTCCGGAGCGCAGGCTTCGGAGGCTTTGCCTTGCTATCGCTGAAGCCAGGGAGCCTGCATTCGCTCCATAGGACGCACACACATTTCCCCTTAGTTTTTAAGACGGAAAAAACTGCGTCCTATGGTGCGAAAAATACGGTACACTCTTTTAGAGGGTCCGGCTTGGCCAGGGGGAGGGCGGCATCAGGCAGCCACCCCCTCCTCAGCCATGCAGGAAGGTGGCAATATTCCCCTGTCTGGCTACAGCCACACTGTGCGGCAAATGTCCCCCTGCCCCCCGGAGCTCCAATGAGCAAATATTGCCCCGAGTAAGGGTGTTCCCATCAGCAGAATGGATTTCTGTAATGAGCAAGGTAGAAATGCATATATATGTATTAATGAGCAATCTAGATTTCAAGCTGAGTGAAGAAACATGTTTACCATAATCTTGTCATGGATTGTTTCTACCAAGATACAATGAGAAGTTATGTTCATAACATGTTGATAACTTATTATCGCATGGTGCCAGGGTTGCATGTCTTTCAGGGGAAGGTCTGTTGCTTAGTGATATAGCACCTGCTATACATGCAGAAGGGATGCAGGTGGCGCTGTGGTTTAAACCACAGAGCCTAGGACTTGCCAATCAGAAGGTCGGCAGTTCGAATCCTCGCGACGGGGTGAGCTCCTGTTGCTCGGTCCCTGCTCCTGCCCACCTAGCAGTTCAAAAGCACATCAAGTGCAAGTAGATAAATAGGTACCGCTCTGGTGGCAAGGTAAACGGCATTTTCTGGTTTGCCAGAAGTGGCTTAGTCATGCTGGCCACATGACCTGGAAAGCTGTATGCCGGCTCCCTCGGCCAATAAAGCAAGATGAGCACCGCAACCCCAGAGTCGGCCACGACTGGACCTAATGGTCAGGGGTCCCTTTACCTTTATACATGCAGAAGGTCCCAGGTTCAATCCCCGGCATCTCCAAGCAGGGATGGGAGTGAACTGTGCCTGAAATCCTGGAGAGCTTTTGCCAGTCAGTGTAGGCAATCCTGATCTAAATGGGAAGGAATTCAGTGTTGCACTAACACAAATGTTCCATCAGTGTATGCATTTCTGCTTGCCTGATGGAATGGTGCCCCTGCTTACTCCCACTGCATGCTCCCCTGACCCCTCCAGAGCCAATGGGGGTGGGCACACAGGGAAAGGAGATTAGGGGGAAAGTCCCATTGAACTGGTAGGACTCATTGTGGTGGCTCCTGCTACTGCACCTATGGTCTGGCTTGGTATAATGCAGCTTCTTGTGTTCCCCACATGGCTCCAGCACTGTAGCTCAGGCACCATTTTGGCTGCAGTCCCAGCCTGTTACAACTCCGAGTCAGCTGATTCCCATGAGCCAATCCCTGCCCACCAGGACCTTTTTAAAGCCGTAGCCTTAGTGTTTGCTTTGTATTCCAAGGAACTTCTCTCTAGTACAAGGATAGTCCCTAAGCTCCTGCCCCTCCTGCCACCCTTGATTGGTGCTCTAGATTTGTTTTGGACAACACAGCTGCTACTGGGCCGCTTGGATGGATACGAACTCCCCTTGTTCTCAGGACCTGACCACCAGAAATGACACTCCCAGGGACCCAATGTTTGGCACGATGCTTTATTCAGAGGCATGAGATCTCAGATGTTTTTGAGCAGGCAACAAAGGATACCTCCGTCTTGCTTTGTTTGCAAGCTTGCTGGGGGCATCTGCTTGGCCACAGCTGGAGAAGCAGCAGTGCACCAGATGATCCTTTGGTCATCCAGGAAGATTGTTAGGAAGCCTGAGCCCAGTTCTTTTCTGCAGGGCCCTAGATTTCCTGCCTCTTCCCAGTCCCCGCTTTTAAACACCTAAACCTAAAAAAAATGCATTTTTAGTCTTGCTTACTGGGTGATGCATGCTGTAAAGTGCAGTGCCGGGGAGACCATGTTCTATCCACCACTTTAATTTCCCAAAGGAAGATCTATACATGGATACACATAGGTGTCGTGGGCCTGCACCCAAAGCCCTATAGGTACCTAGTGGTGCTCCTGCCTTGATCTGATCTGGCACAAATGGCTTCCCTTAAGTGGGATGGGCACTGGGGCTGAATGTGGACCTTCACTGGCCTATGGAGGAGAGCGAGCATATGTTCCCTCAAAATCACAGTCAGTGGTAGCTTACTCTGGAATAAGTTGCTGCATGCTGGAATCGAGGCCGGCACTCAGGTTGGTATGGGATGATTTTGCACCCCAGCCATCATGATGATGGGAGTAATTGGTGATCCTAGGGTACTTTGTTTTTGTTGAGCTCTACTGACCTGAGCTATATTCAAGCTGATGCCAGGAGGAGGAATTGTCCACATCTCATTAGCAGGGCTCTGTGTCAACATGTTTCCCCGAAGCGATACATCTGTGCCATCCAAGTAGGCCAATTATGATAACTGACCGTCTCCCAGCAGACAGAAACAAAGGGATTACAAATGCAGTCCAAAATATTGACAAGGAGATTTTGGTTTATGAATCCTCCCCCCCCCCCAAATCTAAAGAACTGCTGTCCTGTTTTTCTCCTCTTCCTCAGCATTTGCTAGGTGTGATTCTTGATGTTTTACAGCTGCAGCTTTGAATCTTCCTTCCTGCTTCCCCCCTCCCCTTAGGAAAAAAAAACCAAAAAAACTGGGGACCAGGGCTCACCAGTTTCTAACTCCAGTAATTCATTCTCTCTCTTCTATACAGTGCTTGGAATAAAGTAGCTTGAATTAAAAAAAAGTCCACTGAATTAGTTCAAAGACCTCTGAACGACACCTGAAAGTTGCTCCCATAACTTTTGAGTGAATTGAATGTAGATTAAGTTTTAGGGTGGAACTTTGAACAATTTCCAGTTAAAACCTTCAACTTCTTACATGTCGGTTTTCTTTTTTACACTTTGGACTTTGGGGGCCTTTAAGCTTAAATATGATAATTGTTTGAAGGAATGAATTAAGCTATTCACATCCCACTGTGTCCATATTTTGATGTTGTTGTTTTAGTTGTTTGAAGTACACTGTATGCCTCAGCACAGCTGCTTGTAACATTGTGAATACTGAAAAGTATTTTGCCAATGATCATTTGGATGAACTTGAACGGAACATGAGCCAAGATAGTTCATTTTGTAAAGGGGGACCAACATGAACTAGAATTAATTTCTTTTTGGACACGTTCACCTAGAACTAGAATTAGCTGCTTTAAAAAAAAAAGAACTTTCCAAGCTCTGACATTGAGGATCTGGCAGCTGCTAGGACGTTTCTGAATTAAGGATAAGCTGAATTGCTTGTTCCCATTCTGGAAAGTTTGGGTGATTTCACTCTGCCAGAATTCCAGAAGTTTGTGAAATTTGGAATGGATTCTTCAGTTTGCACTGAGGATGCCTTCCGAGGCCTTCTGCATCCAGGAGAACTTTACATGCTCCCAACACTTGTAACATTGACCCTGTTGCTGCATTAGAGGTTTCTGGGCATAGAGATGGAGGCCTGTGTGGCCTGGGAACCAAAAACCTGAATCAGAACAGGTACCTGGACAGACTAGGCCCCCATTCCTGTATTTAACGTGTTGTGCTTAGACCTAGAACTCTTTAATCCAAATTAGGTACCTAGGACAGATTTGCTCCTAACTCCCTCTCCCATAATCAGCTCCTGGCCATGACACAGTCCTTAGGCCTCCACTTGAAATTTCCTTAGATACCCATATTATTTCACTTGCAGAGGTGAAACCCATGTGTCTGCAGGGGGTCAGGGCAGGGGAGAACTTCCAGAAGAAAAAAAATGCAGAATTGGACAGGGTTAAAATGCTCCTCTCTCACACCCCAAGAATTGGTCTTCCCCCTCAAAATGCAGCTACAGTAATTCCATTGTCTTAAAGGAAAAGTCTTTAAAACAGAATCCTACAACTACAAGTTTTATTAAGTTTATTGTAGTTCTACCCTGAATCACTAGGTGGTGCAAAAAGCACTGTAGAGACATCTACTGACAAATGAAAAGCATTACATCAAAGTATATATTGAAATGTCAGCTGAAGAGGAGGGGTTCATTGCGGTTCCAGTCTATGCAGCATCTACACTTAAATATATGGCTATACATTCAACCAGATAATTTAAGCAGAGAGAAAAACACACACAAAACAGCCATATATCTCATATGAAACTCAAAAACTGCAATGTGTCTAGTCTTCTCTCTTGCCTGTGCAGTTTTCTGGCTGGAGTCTGATGGAAGATGGCTCAATTCGAATAGAAGAGGCAACGGAAGAAGCTCTTGGCACATACACCTGCGTGCCTTATAATGCCCTGGGTACAATGGGCCAGTCCCCCCCTGCCCGACTCGTACTGAAGGTATTTATTTACTTTTTAAACATTAGTATCTTTCTCTTTAACTGAAGAGGCTCACAAAGCAGCGTACTCACAAAAAAAGAGAAGTAGTGTGGCACTGCATACCCTTAGGCTTTTATTCTAAAAGGCATGGCACACAAGGAAAAAGGAACAGGGAGGGAGGAGGGCAGAACACCCCCCCCCCCCCGTCAGGCAGCACGGGAAGAGCCAGAGGCAGCTAGTATCTCACCTCTTGATATATTGCTGTTCTGAAAAGCTTGTGAACTATGCATATTGCACTGAGCATGCCTAACTTTGGATGCAATCCGCATCCACAAAATGCCAGCTGTGATGGCAAGACGTCTGTTGTGAAGCTCTCCTGGCTGGGTGTGGTGTGCGGGGGCACAGTACAGAGCCTCTCTGGGTGCCCCAAATCAGATCAGCTCACCTAAAGTGAAGAGACCACAGGCTGTGATTTAAAGGAATTGTAGATTCATTCGATTGAAATGTGTCTGTCTGATTCTGTTGCTAATGTGATAGAAGACAGATGCCCAGCCCTTTTGAGCTCAGAGGCTCCCTTGGAAGTCTAAGAAACTGCCACGGACACCACAAGTATCCATTTCATGGGGTGGGGGTGGGGAACCAATATCTGGTGATGCTTAGACCCTCCCTGCCCAATGAGCAAAATTCTTTAAAAACAAAAAAAAGGCAGCCCCCTTTAATAAAATCAACCTAACAACTGCAAAATGCAAAAAAGAGAGGAAGAACCCTTAATTTAAAAAATAAAGTGGGGAGGGGCATGAGGATCTGGCAGCTACCAAGGGGTTGTGGTATCTTGAGTGCACCAGGATGCCTGTGGGGACCCCAGTGATATGACATACTATAACAATCCACCTTCCAAGAAGCTGAAAAAGTCAGCATGCAAATGTCGAGGAGGAGGAGATGGTGCTGTCAGTTGGAGGCATCCAGCAGAGAAGATGACCTGTCAATCTGCCAGCGTTGGGCAGCTCTTACACACTGTCTCCATGAAATGGACAGTGAATGTGAGTGTGTGCGCACGAGAGCATCGTGCAAGCCAAGTCGAGCAAGCTGCATGCTTGCATGAGCGTTGTGAGCAGCTAAGCGTTGGTGGGGGAGAGTGTGCGAAGGGAGAACGAACACAGAGAAGGTATTGCACACCCGCCTCATCCGTGAATTTACATGGGTCAGTGATTGTATGTATGTCAATGTAATCTGTTTAACCATCTGGCTTTTGGCAGACTCATTAACTGGCTAAAAGTTCTGTAATTGGATGGCAGATTTTTTAAATGCAGGTTTCGGCTGTGCGTTCAATGCGAGTTGTTCAATTTTTTAATTTCCCCCACCCGCCTTTCTCTCCCCTTGCCTTCCATCCCTGGCTGCAGGACCCGCCCTATTTTACGGTGCTACCAGGCTGGGAGTACAGACAAGAGGCAGGGAGGGAGCTGTTGATACCCTGTGCTGCTGCAGGAGACCCCTTTCCTGCCATCGCCTGGAGAAAGGTACCCGGCCTGCCAGAAAAATCTGCAGTGCCTTTGGCTTTTGATGAATATTGCAGACAGAGAAGCCACACTCTGTCCCGGTAAGAGCAAAACTGCAGGTTCAGCTGCTTTGCTTCGGGCTGTACTACTGCCGCCCCCGTCCCGCAGGTGGGTGGGGGAAAGACCCAGCTCCTAGCAAGGAAGCCTTAGAAGCTGCAGAAACCTTAGCCACCGTCAGCCAGCAACAGCAGCAATTGCAAAATGAGCCGCTCTGTTTTATTCATTTCTTTATTGCATTCGTATCCCACCTTTCCTGCAAGGAACTCAAGGTTTCCCCTCTCCTCATTTAGTCCCCACAACAACCTCATGAGATAGCTTTGCACAGTGCCCAATGAGGCTAATCCAAGGCGTGATTATTGCTAATTGAAAACTTTTCCAGAAAAAACCCAAAAACAACCTCATGAGATAGGTTAGGCTGAGAGGCAGCAACTGGCCCAAGGTCACCCACTGAACTTCATAGCTAAGTGGGAGTTTAAACCCTGATCTCCCATGTCTGATGCTCTAACCACTGCACCACACTGGCTCTCACTTGCCACTTCCTCCACTCACTCCTTTGTGCCAGTATCTACTGCAGGTCCCCCTCCCCCTTGTGGACCCCTCCCTCCAGTGCCCCAGTTGCCCCAGTGCAGTGCATGGGACAGACTTGCCTCTTTCTCTGCTAATATTTTGCAACATACTGCCAGATCAAGCCATGATTTGCTGGAGCTACAGATGAAGGAACCTATTAGTTTTGCTTCTCTCGGTTTTCCATTTTTCTACTCTTAAATCCAGTTCTCTACATTTCCCCAGCAATTTGCATTTTTTCTTGGGGGGGGGGTTCCTCCTGAAAATCTTGTCAGCATTTGAGTACAAATATCTCTTAATACACCTTTGTTTGTACTCAGTTTTTACTAATGTGCACATTTTTATGTTTATTCCCACTTTCCCTTAATATATACATTTTAGACAGATTGGTTGGGCAACCGCATTGCAGAATTTGGGGAAGTGTGAATTTTGTAGGATAGCCGCTTTTTGTTCTGTGCATCAGCTTGAGACGTGCAAATTTGGTAGTTTCTCCTTAAAATGTAAACAAAACTCAAAATTCTCTCCCGCTCCTAGCTGGAGTACAGTCAGGAGGACGCTGTCTCTTAACTACAGCAGTCTTTCATATGAGGAGCATTGCAATTTTAGTGTTGAAAGGGACCTTGGGAGGTAATCCAGTCCCACTCCCTTTGCTTGATGCAGGAATCTTGCAGCCCTAAGAAATAGTAATCCTGCCTCTGCTTAAATACCTCCAGTGAAGGCATATTTCTTACAAGTAGTGTATAAGCTCTGAGCTTTCCCACCCCAAAACATCTCGTTCAGCTGCTGCCCCACTGGGTGTCCTCCCTCAAGCTTTGACTCTTAGCAAATAGACAATGGGTTTCTCCCATTTTGTGTCTGCTGTGAGAGATTCAGCAGGGGGTAAGGTCCAAACCAAAGCCACCAAGTGATATCAGCTTTCCCATTTTTCTGTGATCTTCTGTTTTGCATTCTCCCCATTCTGACTCTCTTAAGAGTCCTAGCCTACTGCTGCTTGCCTAGCTGTGCTCCACATCTGGACTTGGGCCCCTGAACTTCAGGGAAGGGGAGTAGCTCAGTGGTAGAGGATCAGCTTTGCGTGCAGAAGGTCCCAAGTTCAATCCCACAGCATCTCCAAGTAGTATTGGGAAAGACACAGAGTCTGAAAACCTGGAGAGCTGCTGCCAGTCAGTGTAGACCAGGCATAGGCAAACTTTGCCCTCCAGATGTTTTGGGACTACAACTCCCACCATCCCTGAACATTGGTCCTGTTAGCTAGGGATGATGGGAGTTGTAGTCCCAAAACATCTGGAGGGCGAGCTTGCCTATGCCTGGTGTAGACATTGCTGAGCTAGGTGGACCCAGTGGTCTGACCCAGTATAAGGCAGCTGCTCATGTCCTCAGGGTGTCCTTGATTGCTGCTTGGACTGTCTGTACCTCCTTATAGCATCACATCTTCTTTCTTTTTGACAAGCAGAAGCAACATACACTGTCAGAGGTCAGGAGGGGGAGATCTCTTTTGTCCATTGCCGCAGCTAAATTGATTCCCATGGCCAAGTGCCACCCTAAACATCACCCTATGGCCGTCTTCTGGTGCAGTTGCGGGGAACCTTTGTCCCTTAGGGTGTTGCTGAACTGCAGCTCCCATTATCCCCACCAAGCACAGCTGGTGGCAAGGGATGGTGGGGCTTGTAGTCCTGTGGTTCCTATACCTGTTCTTTGGGAAATGGCACTGCCTGAAACCCAAGGGAAACAGAGTGATTGCCTCATCATGCAACCAGATATTAATAGGGTGAATGCAGGTGAGATCCATGGTGTCGTAGCTCCCTCTAGCGGCCTAAAGCTTTAAACTAAATAACAGTACGTACAGAATGCAAAAGAATATTTATCTACCAGTGACCAGATCAGCTGTCATGACTTTTGACCCATTCCACAAAGAATCCTGGTAACTGTAGTTTTGTGGCATGGGGGATATTTTTTGAAGGGACTCCTGAAGAACTGCAGTTCCCAGGATTCCTTGGGTTGGGGGCCATGGGCATTAAAACTGGCCTAGAAGTGGTTTAAAGTCATAGTGCAGATAAATGTATGCACTCAGTGTTTCATATCCCAGAATTCATCTATTCTGCCTCCCAAATATTACTGTCTTTTTTTAAAACATACATTACAATTATGTAAGGTTCATAGCTGTTAGGTGGGCCGCCTTCAGTTGCTGCAGAATTATGCAGGCATTCAGGTCACACGGAACACTTCATCTTTTTGTTGCCTGACCCCACTGACCTGCAACCTTTGGAGGGTGAACATCTGCAGGGAGAAGCCTGCTGTACTCAAGTGGGTGCTTTGCCAGTGGGGTAGTAGAGCAGGAACATTTGGGTACTTTTTTCCAGCTATCATGGCCATCACTACCAGTTGTCAGAAGCAGGTGCCTCTTAAGGTGACTGTTAGAAGAAAAATATTACTCCCTTTCCCTTACGGGGTATCTAAGAGCCCATATAGAGTCCTTAAGTAGGTTCTCTAATGGTAGGAGAAAATAACAGAGGCCAACCAGAATATATTGAGAAGCAAAGCAGCTAGTAAGCATGATCTTTATTAAACTGTTGCAACAGGGTCCCCCACTCACCCCACGCAGGGAGGGAGGAGAGGAACCTAGAACAATGGTGTGCAAGCTCTTATATAGACATTTGAAAATTGCCTCCCCTGTAGCTCAAGACCACCCCCCAAAACATCATACATACATTACTGAAGGGGTGGTCTACAGCAGAAAACCTGTCTGCCAAGATACCTAATGGTCACTGATTGCTTTCATCTGGGCATACTGGCCATTCTTTTGTGATGATAAATACTCAGTTCCTGAATCCAGGTCACAGGCTCACCCTATTCATACACAGATACACCCTTCAGACAGGATTTGTTAGCCAAAGACAAGGGGGAGGCTTTCCCATTTCCTTCCTCCTTGCAGAGAAACATTTGAGGTCAATTTGGGAGAGTCAAAATGGTTTCAGGATTGCTCTCCTGTACTATTTCAGACACGTAGTTTATATACTTATGCATGTGTTTGCCTTGTAAGTTTATGAACATAGAATTCCTATAACAGTGGCTAAGAAAAATTAATGCACCAACCCACCCTCAAAGAAGAGTGGTAGATGCAGATTTACATGTGCTACTTCATAGATGTACTGGATTTCTGTTTAATTATTTCTAATTGTACATCTCACTGTAGAGGAAGCAGACTATGGGTTGATTACCTGTGTCTCTGCTCAGCCTGCTGACCAGCTGCTAATTGAGAATGTGTAACTTCAGGGTTGTTCCTGCTCTTCTTTCTTACGATTCTTTCTCATTTAAACTGGACTTGAGCCAGGCAACCCTTCAAGTAAGGAACTGTCCACTGTGAAGGGGGTCCCCTGCCCAAACCCCACTTTATCTGTGCAGCAGAAGCACCCTCATGCCCATTCCTTGCTCTGTCCTTGCCTGCTCCCTCATCTCTGCTGGTTCTCCAGCTCTGCCTTGTTCCTCTTTGTGCTCCTTTCTCCACACCTGCCTTACCTGCTCATACCGCCTTTTGGGAGCTGACCTCTCTGGCCAATGATTTTGCCAAAGATGCCTCCAAGTGTCTGCAGGAAGGGCCCAGAATCGCACCCCTCTCCCAGTTTGTGCTAGCAGCATTGGCATCGTGTCGCCTCACTCTGCTGCCCTTGCGACATGCCTCTGAGTTGTGTTTTTTCTCTCTTTATTTCTCCTTCCTTTCCCCTGTGCTTTCTCTGTTGTTTGACCAAGGTAGGGAAGCCCAGTAGAAGCAAGCACAACACCCTTCCAAGTGGCAGCCTCCAGTTCCGATCTCTCAGTAAGGATGACCACGGAGAGTGGGAATGTGTCGCTACCAACATAGTCACAAGCATAACTGCTAGCACTCATCTGACCGTCATCGGTAGGTATGGGAATGGATTGGAAGCGTTCATGGGCATGGCCAAGGCATCAAACGGGGGATGCCATGGATGTTTGTGGTTTTTCTTCTCCTGGAGTGAAAAATGTTATATTTGCTATTGCGGATAACTGTCCTGAGGAAGCAACCATTTGCAAATAGTTCTCACTGAGCTGTGGGGAGAAAAAAACAACAATCAGCATGAGCAGTTGCACTGTTAAACCAGCAGTGCAATGGTGATTCAGAATTGCGGGAATTAGACTCTAGTTCCCATTTAGCAGAGCTTTGTGGAAGACAGTCCTGGGTCATTCGACCTGTTAATTAGTTCTCTTTTTCCCTCCTATAGAAACTACGCAAGATGCTCTCTTTTAAAGTTTAAAGAGCAAATAGCTTTTACTTAGTGTACTTGCAGTTGCAGATTAAATACACAACGCAGGTAGGTGATACATAGGTTGCTAAAACATCTTACATAGATTAAATTGTTACAGACGAACTCTGACTCTGAGGCAGATAGCAGCACAACGCAGCATACCTGCTGGTCTAACTGTTAAGACTGTTCAACTAACTGCCATAAAGGTACCAACTGCCATAACTGCCACAGAGCACATGACATCACAGAGTTCTGAAGCTCTTGCGATTAACCCTTTACATACACATTATGGATGGTAACATTTCACAAGAATGACCTGTGAGAAATAGTCAGATAACAATGTCCTCTTAAACAACCCAACAGTAAAATCAGCAGCAACTAGGCCCCTGACAACCTTCGAAAACCTCCTCCTAACAACAAAGGGAAACAGTAAAGGGACGGTATCCGCAATATACAAAATACTACTACAAAATCCCGCAAATCCGCTAGACGCAATCAAAAAACAATGGGAGAATGACATAGGCTATGAGATTAACCCCACTCAATGGACCAGAATGTGGTCTAAACCCCCCTTTAAATCCATATCAACGAAAAGAAAAGAACTCACACTGAAACTCACCTACAGGTGGTACCTAACACCAAGGAAACTAGCGCTAATACACCCAGGAACCTCACCAAAATGCTGGAGAGGGTGCACCTCCACAGGCACATACCTCCACATGTGGTGGGAGTGTCCCAAAATCCAACTATTCTGGACAGCAGCCGTACAAGAAATATGTACAATAACTAAGCAAGTAATAGACATCACCCCAGAATTGGCCCTACTAAACATCTTCCAAGACAACAATGCCCATTTACACCACAAAGAACTCATAACCCACCTGCTTTCAGCAGCCAGAAATACCATAACCAGACACTGGAGAGACCTGTCAGGAGTAAGCATGGACCAATGGTACCAAATAGTATGGGAAACAGCCCTACTAGAAAAATTAACTAATAAATTGAAACTGACACGGGGACAAACAGAAGAAGACACCTTCACCCCAGTATGGCTCCCCTTTATCACACACACAGCCCAACAGGACAATGACAATAATCCACCAACAGCGTACAAATCAATATGGCTAACCTGATCCAAAGCACCCACCCACCTCACTCACACACAAAAACAAAGATCACCACAGCCAATCACAAGCAAACAATCACACCCTAGGCCAACCCCAACCTCTCTCACCACCAAAGGAACACAAGTGAACAACACAAACAACGCTGACACCAAACTCTACACACATTAAACATAATAGAAACACCGCCACCCGACCCCACCCCCATCCATCTTCCCTCTCTCCACCCCCCTTTTCTTCTCTCTTTCTTTTTTCTTCTCCCCCTAATGCCTCAACAAATGAAATGGATTTGTAAAAATGTTACATGGAAAAAACAACAACGAGGCACTACACTTCTGTAAAACAAGAAAATCCTTAATAAAAGATATTAAAAAAAAGAAAAAGAAAAAAGATAACAATGTGTAATGGTGTGGCTTGCAATAAAATAAAATAAATAAAATAAAATAAAATTACAGTGCTCAAAATACATTTCATGGCAGTCCCTTAAAGGTGCAATTTTTTAACAGGTTTTTTTTGGGGGGGGGGCGGGGAGAATGATTAGGCTAAAACTGAAGGAGTCAGGAAGGGGACCTTGTGGGTTTTAATAAGGATCCCCCTCCCCTTTCTCAACCATTGGAGCACTGTTTTTAAATGGTGACTGAGTTGCAGTAGTTGTGAAATAGTCTTGCCTGTGCTTTTTGAACCTTGGAACTATAGCAGTTTGGGAACCTCCCCAAATCCGATGGCTCTGAAAATAGCAGATCTGCTTTTGTGGACATGTCTTTTGAGCAGATCAGGGCTGTCTTAAGCATATCTGGCGCCATGGTGCAAAGATCCCTCTGCACCCCCCCCCCTGTTTTCCAGAGTTGCCGACCTTTTTTAGGGGGGATGGCACTGCCGGCGACACTCCCAGCTTTGCGGGGCTGTAGGAGGCGGGCAGCGACTGGAGGGCAGCTCCTCTGGTGGGGAAGAGGAAGAGGCTGGACGTGGCGGCTCCTGGCTCAGCTGGCCACTTTTTGCTGTAGTGGCCATGGCAGGCGGAGGTTCCGGGCGTGGCGCTGCTTCGGCGCGGCATGGCGGAGGTGGGCAAGGATGGTGAGCTGATGCTGGGAGGTGCCGCGTCCAGCCTCCGCCTCTTCCCTGGCACCCTTCAGAACTTGGCGCCCTGCGCCACTAGCCTCTATGGGTAAGACGCCCCTGGAGCAGGTGTGGTGGTATCCAGGAAGATGGAAATATCTGTAATAAGGAATGCAGTTCTCTCTTGACCATTGCAATTGAAAGGGTAGGAAGAGAAATGTTGAACAAAATCCTAATGAGAGGTTATAACCAAACAGGACAGGATGTCTGAATGTTGGTGGCGAGGAGGAGAATGGAATAGAGTCCGCTGAGGAGGAGGGTTGGCTCATGGCTGGCTTCTGAGATAGAACACAGCTGATAGTGTCTCCAGAATAGGAAAAGAATGGATTAGGAGAAGGCATGCTGGGAATGAAGGGTATGTAGAGAAAGCAGAAGTGCAACGGAGGCTGATCTCCATATTTAGAAAGTCTGGCCTTTGTGTGTATGAAGAAGATATCCAGTTTTAGATCCATACTGGAGGACAAGTAAAATTCCCAGATACTGATGTTTCACTGAAAAGAGCCAACTAGCCAAGGTCTGGTGGTATACCATCAGGTTCATAAAGTCTCCTAGGTAATGCATAATTGATCCAGTGCTGGGGATAGATAAACAGGGAGGAATGATTTTATCTTATTTATTTTAGAATCAGGGTTCCTGATGAATTCAAGGGTTTTTTTCTTTTTTGTTTTGCAACATCTGCATACTGTTGTTGGCATTAAAATGGCAGTATGTATCCCCACCCATCTAATCCTTATTTACTATTTCTGGGGGAAATCTAAGTTTCTTTAGAAAACAGCAGATATCACCTGTTAGTGCTATCTCAGCGACCTCATCTGGAAGCATGTTTTCTTGAAAGTTTGACCTGAGATAAAAGAAAATACTGTTCTGCCACCTTTGAATGAAAAAAATGCCAATCCATCACCCTGTGTTTTGGGTTGAGTGCTGTTTACCCAACTTCTCTTTGCCTCTCTTTTCAATTATTTCATTGTGTGGACTTTTCAACTGTCCCATCTGTTTGCTCTAGGAGTCAAAATGCTTGAGCCTACAGCCAGCAGAGTGGCTAATGGATAATTGGAGGGAGGTGATGGGCTTCTCTCTGTCAAGGGAGGCTCATATTTCTTGGATGATCTCTGTGGCAAATGCCATGTCTGAGTCATAGATGGTTCCCAGGAAGAGAAGATCATTTTTTCCTTTTAATTTCATGCTCCAGTGAACCTGTTGCTAAAATCTGCTCTTTAATTCTTTTTTATTTTTTAAATTTTATTTTGGCTATCTCTTTAGATGGGTTGAGGGGGAAGAAAAAGAGCATCCTTTCTTGTAGGTTGGTGCAAGTTTCTCACCTGCAAATGATGAGTCTAGACACATATATGGCTTCAGGGCCTAGCAGGATTCAGGCCCCCAATTACTCAGATTTTGGTGAAGAACCATAGCTCAGTGGTAGAATATTTGCTTTGCATGCACAACATCTCAAGTTGAATTCCCCGGCATCTCTGAGTAGGGCTGGCAAAGAATCCCTGTTTGAAAGCTGCCACTAGCCAGTGTAGACAATGCTGAGCTAAATAGCTCCAGTGGTCTGACCCTGTATAAGACAGCTTCCTATGGACTCACATCCTCTGTGCTTCCTTGATTACTGCTTTGGTTCATTTGCACCATTCCAAAGCATTGCCTCTTTCCTTTTACAGATAAGCAAAAAGGTAGAGGCACAATCCACTTCCTAGCAGAAGGTGGACTGCAAAGCCCTGTTCAGAAAAAAATCAAATGGGTGAGACTAGCAGACATTCCTAGGGAAGGATATTCCATAGTTTCGGGGCAACCTCAGAGCAAGCCTAGCTTCTCATATGACAATATAACCTCCAAACATATATGTGGAGGGGATGCAGAGGAGGGAGAATTGTGAAACCTCATAATTATTTGATGACTAAGGGGTTCTCTTTGGCTTTAGAATATTGAATTTTCCCTGGATCACACTCTATTTTACCTAGAAATAATGTGGAGTTTGTGAGCAGTCATGTCTACATAGACCTATAATAAATAATGTATCTTTTTAAAGATAATGTGGTTCTGGAAGGTCCACAGGCCCCAATGCAGCACACAGACCACACTGATGCAATGGTGTGAGCAGCTGAACCTCCCTAAAGTACAGGTTGCATGGACTGGTTGTGTATCCATTTTAGACATAGTGATGACCACCAACTTGGACAGCTGTAGAAGAGCATTAGACATACAGTGGTGCCCCGCAAGACGAATGCCTCGCAAGACGGAAAACCCGCTAGACGAAAGGGTTTTCCGTTTTGGAGGTGCTTCGCAAAACGAATTTCCTATGGGCTTGCTTCACAAGACGAAAATGTCTTGCGAGTTCCTGCAGGGTTTTTTTCCTCCCCCCCTTTTTCCCAAGCCGCTAAGCCACTTATCAGCTGATCCGCTAAGCCGCTAAGCCGCTTAACAGCTGATCCGCTAAGCCGCTTAACAGCTGATCGCTAAGCCGCTTATCAGCTGATCCGCTAAGCCGCTTAACAGCTGATCGATAAGCCGCTTATCAGCTGATCCGCTAAGCCGCTTAACAGCTGATCCGCCAAGCCGCTAAGCCGCTTATCAGCTGATCCGCTAAGCCCGCTAAGCCGCTAATAGCGCTAATCCGCTAAGCCACTAATGGGCTTGCTTCGCAAGACGAAAAAACCGCAAGACGAAGAGAATTGCGGAATGGATTCTTTTCGTCTTGCGAGGCACCACTGTATCCACACTGAATAACGATATCTACGGCTACTAGTCATGGTGTCCACATTCTGCTTCGACTGTTGGAGGCCTCTGAATGTCCATTGCTGGGAATCACAAGTGCAGAGAACTTCTGTTGCACTCAGAATCTGCTTGTGGGCTCCTCATAGTCACCTGGTTGGCCACTGTGAGAACAGGATGCTATACTAGATGGGCCTTTCTCCTGATCTGGGAGGGCTCTGCTCACGTTCTCATGAAGTGACCCATGGATTTGTGTTGCTTCCAGTGGACAAAGACAATTGCAGTATTTGCAGAAGAGGTTTCTGTCAAGGGTTGTGAAAAGAGGGAAGCTGCCCACTGGATGCTGCTGATGCTGTTGCATTCCCCTGCCCTCAAATTAATAATGTCAAAATTACTGATGTTGCATGGTGACACCCTCTCCAAAACAAGGTTGCCAGCTTTGAACCTGGTTGCTTGGCCCTTTAATTTCCACTTCTCTCTTCCTCTGCTTCTTAACAGCTATGTGCTCTCTCTTTATTTTGCCCTGGTACTTTGTCCTGATAAGGACAGAAAATAAGAAATATGAAGATAATGGAATGTATAATATAGGGTAGGCTACCCAAATTTAGAAAATTCGACTAAATTATCATAAGGATTGTTAAACATACTAATGATCTCAAAACAGTAGTGATCTCAAAGATAACAACAACAACAACAACAACAGTAGCAGCAGCAGCAGCAGCAGCAGCAGCAGCAGCAGCAGCTGCAGCAGCCAGGGACTCTCAGGGCCAGGGACTGAACGTGGCTCTTCAGCTAGCCCTTTGGACTCTGCCACACATTCCCAGACCATGCTCTGTGCCTTCCTCTATTGCTTTTACCTGGTTCTAATATGTCCTTGAGTTCTGATGGTACCTCTTACTTGCTTGTAGGGAGAGTGGTGTTTGTCTGGCCACACCCACCATTGACATGTGGCCCTTGGGAGATTTCCCATGCAGGAATGTGGCCTTCAGGCTGAAAAAGGTTTCCCATGTCAGTTTTAAAAAACAACTCTATAATTTGATGTGCAACCATTTTTTTCTAATTATTTCCTCTCGGCATCTTAAACAGTTTCATTCTTTTTTCTCTCCCCCTCTTCCCTGTTTTCAGGCACAAGCCCCCATGCCCCAGGCAACGTGCGCATCGCTGTTTCCATGACCTCTGCCAATGTTTCCTGGGAGCCTGGCTATGATGGTGGATATGAACAGACATTCTCAGTTTGGTACGGCCCTCTGTGAGTCATCCCAGCATGCTTTGCTCTCTGCTTCTTTTCTTTCTCACTCGGCCAGAACTCGGAGTTGGAAGGGGCCTTGCCCTTCTCAGGCTGGAGTTCCCCCGAACAGCTTGTTTTTAGCCTGATGTGCTTGAATGCCAATCACTCTAAGCGAGCCAGCAAGGGTGTCAGGTGTACCCAATACTTCTTTTCCAAAGAGGAAGATTAGCACAGAATAGGGTTTTCTCCACCCCTCTCAGTAGTGCCTATATCCACTACTGTGAGGCTGTTCATGTGCTTTGTTTAATACATTTATCTCTTGTCTTTGTTTCCATAATGGAACTCAAGGTGTTGTAGGTGGGTTTCTGGGCACTGACGAGGCCCAGATGTCCTGAGGTGCAAACCAGAGGTGATATCAAGCATTTGATTGGCCCTTGTGTGCTTAGATTGGAGTAGGGGCCATTTGGAGCAGAACCCCAGCATTGGGGGAAGGGGGTGTTGGCACTTTGTCCCCCCTGCTATCACACTCTTGATTCCCCCTCCAGCTGCTCTTTGACAGTTTTTCTCCCGCTCTCATCACATGAGAATTTGTGGACCCCCAATGAAGCTGAATGTTGGAAAACTCAGGACTGATAAAATAATGTCCTATTTCATGTAGCAGATAGTTCAACTACGGCACTTGCTACCACATAGCTTGTGTCTCATGAAGTTGAATGCAACCTGCCAGTCATATATTCATGGTTTCATCAAGTGTTTCCTGTTTGATTTTGATTCCTATACAAAACACAGGACACCCAGTTTTGTTTAAAAGTTTCTATTGAGTGGTTTCTCCCATTCCATAGTTTATTTTATTTTGTCATTTAGACCCCACCTTTCCTCCAAGGAGCTCAAGGTGGCATAGATTGTTCTCCCCCTCCCTGTTTTTTCCTCGCAACAATTGCTTATAGCTCATGATTTTATTCATGATCATTATATCCCAGGTCTTGTGGGGGATAGGTAGACAGATAGTAGCTACATTGCCTATCAGCACAAGCTAGCTCAGAGAGCACCAGGATTCCAGAGAAGGGAGCATAGCTCAGAGGGTAAACTGCATTCATGGCAGGTGGAAGACCTCAAGTTCAATCTCCAGAATCTCCAGTTAAAACCATGGTGGGGTACCTCTGGCCTTCCAGATGTCATTGGACTCCAACCCCTGTCAACCCCAGCCAGCATGACCACTAGCCAGATATGGTGGGAACTGTAGTCCAGCAACATCTGAAGGGCCACAGGTTCCCTTGCATCAAAACTATCAGGTAGCAGCAGGTGATTGGGAAGGGCCTTTCTTTGCCTGAGGCCTTGGAAAGCTGTTGTCATTCTGTGCTGGTCTAGATGGGCAAATTGGTGTAAGGCAGCTACATGCCTTCCCATTTCAAGCTCTTTGCCAGATTAGGCAGGTGCTCAGATGTTGCTGCAGCACAGCAAATTCATTGCCTTGCACACGGCTTGGGAGAAAGAGACCTCCAAGCTGATTGACATTCTGTCACTCTGTTGACTCTGAAGGAAAAGTAGAGGTGACAGCGACCTGCATTTCAGTTGCGTTTCTCATCTCAAATCCTTGGGGATCTTCTCCCCACCCTTTCTTCTCCTCTTATTCTCCTCCCTCCTCTTGATGGTCCAAGCTGACTAGCTTAGGGGTGAGGATGGTGGGTTGCTGATGGAGCAGAGATTGGCTATGTGCTTCCCCATCATAAAATCTACCTGGCTTCCTGAAGAGGATAAAGGTAGCTCTTGTGAAAGTGAGGGTTATATGATTATGTAAAGAAACAAAACGAGAGAAGGAAGGAAGGAAGGAAGGAAGGAAGGAAGGAGAGATGGGAGATAGGGGTGGGATAAAGGAAAAGGGTGTTGTGGGGGGTGGAGGAACACAGTTCAATCAAGGGAATAGGCTTAGAGTACAAAATTTATGCAGCTGCCTCTGTGATTAAAATATCATCGCAAAGAAACGATTAAACCATCTTCACTCTGTGAGCTGTGTCTCACCTTGGAGGGGAACAGCCAGATTGCTGTCAGCTGTCCTGGCAATTTTTACCCCATCACATTGTTGAGAAACAGGGATATTTTCAGAACCTTTAAAACAAAATAGGTTAATTTTCTTTGGCTTGGGTCTGTGCAAGGAGTCCCCAGGGGTGCGGGAAAGGAGCATAGGCATCTGTGGCAGATGCTTCTGCATTAAGCCAGATCTGTCGATACAAGATGCTTCCATTTTTGGAAGGTTTCCAAGGCAAAGAGTAGCATGTAATGGCTAGAGGGTTAGACTAGGATCTGGGAGTCCAGGGTTCAAATCCCCTACTCAGCCATGAAACTTGCTACTGTGTGACCCTGGGGTGGGGAGCAGTCACTGTCTCTTAGCCTAGCCTACCTCAGAGGGTTGTTGGGAGGATAAAATGAGGAGGTGGGGAGAGCTATGTCCATCATCTTGAGCTCTTTGGAGGAAAGGTGGGATCTAAATGTAATAAATAAATGATAAACATTTTTTCCCCTCTACAGGGAACCTGTTCCATGCTGACTCACCTGCTGAAGAAGCCCTGCATTTCTTTTACAGGGATTCTGGTGCCCTCGCAGAGGATTCTGGGGCATGCTTATTTCATGCAGGTCCCTGGTTGCGTCTGTTGAGCCTCCTTATGGCCCTGCATGAACTGAGCACAACCTAAAACTGAGCACAACCCAGTGCCCTTCCAACATCTGGCGTTGCAGGGGGAGATTGCAAATGACAGACGAGCTGTCTTTCACCATTATTGATTCCCACCCTCCTAACTAACTGAGCTTTGGGGAAGCCCAGAGTGCTCCAGTACATGGTTTCAAAGTCACTGCCCTAAGGAGTTGTTTGCTTCCATCTTTAGGAAAGAGTTGCAATTTATTACCCACTGGAGCTACTTATTGGTGCCATGCTAAATTCTCCCTCCCCTTTTAATTTACATCCTGGGATTCTCTTTCCTGCTGGACTCTTATTCATTTATTCTCCCCAAGTGAATTGCAGTTGGGTTTGGTGTTTTTTTGGTGTATGTGGTGCAGCTTGAAGCAGCTGGATCTTCCCTTTAGGCCAAGAAATGACAACATTTTCTCGGTCTATGGTTGCATTCCAACAGGGGTAATCTATCAGAGAGAGTCTGCCAACTGTAAGCAGATATGAAGCCTGCAGTGGGGCAAAAGCAAAAAGGAGACTACCTCCTTTTTCTCTCTACCTTTGCCTCCTTTCTCCCCATCCAACAGTCTGCCAGGATCTGCCAGAGGTCTGAACTGCTTGCTTGCAGAGGGCTTTATTGATGTTAGTGGGAGGGCCTCATGCAGTTTGAGGTTGCCTGCCTGCGCCATAGGGCCTTATCCACTTCCACTGTTGTCTATGGGTTGTAATCCAAAGTCGTGCTAAATTAAAGTCATTTAGTGGTATACTTGTTGCACCCTTGAAATGTTTTGCCCCAGCGGGGCAAAGTTGTCGCTCAAGAGAATGCATGAGCAGGTTGCTGGTAATTTTGTTGTATGACAAGTGGTGCAATGTATTGCACAGAGAGTTCCCACTAGCACCACTGTTGTGTTGGCATCTTCTGTTGCATAACATTAAAAAGGAATGGAGGAGGTAGCAGAGTCAGATCAGCAGAGCAGGGTAAGGATCAGAGTTCCTGCATGTAGCAGGTGCTTTGCTGCAAAGGCAAAGCTTGCCTACAGGAGATGTTACAGAGGAACAGGAAAAGACAGGGACCAGTCACTGTGAAGAGGGGCAGAGCAAGACAGACTGAAGCTGCTCGGACCTAAAAGGGACCCACGTCTTCCCAAATTGTTCCTTGGAAAGGCTCTGGTTGAACTCTGGTTGGAGGGATCCTGACAGGCACTGTTGGCTTTGCCCTATGGGCTGCTGTCCAGATGGTCCCATTGTCTAGGCTTTTGTTGGGCTGCCTGGATCTTGCTCTGGTTTCACTTTAATCACATACTTGCACCTACTTCCGCCAGCAGCTTTGTTTCTGCAGAAGCAGATGCTCTCGGTGGAAACATTACATAGGCTTAGTGGTGCAAAGGAGAATTGTCAATTCAATGGGCCAACCCCATTTTGTTCCGAGGCAAAGGGCAAAGATTGTGGCTCCCTCAGGTTCATGTACAGAAGCTGACCAGATTAGCAGTGGAATCTTATCTCAATGCCAAACAGCAACCTCCACTGCCCTGAAGGACAGCAGGCTCACTTAGGGGGTGCAAACCTGGCCATATGGTGCAAACAGCCCTACCCAATCCTCACTCCTCAGCATCTGCTGCCTGCAGTGACTGCCTCACTCTTCCTTATGTTAGGGACAGCCCTGGGCAATCCCCGTTGCCTTCTTTCAATGCTCTGCTTTCCGTTCCGTTGGCATCAGCAGGGTCTGGAATGCGACCAGAGTGAATGAAATCATTTCTTGGCCGTGGTCCTCATGGGAGGTGCTGCTCAGGTGAGCCTAGCCTGAAGGCAGCATTTGGCGCTGGCATTAATTTGGCAGTCCTGCTGATGACGTATGAGTCAGCCTAGCCTCCCACCTGCTTATCCGTTAGCAGAGCTAGCACCGTGTGCCATGGAGAGGGCCGTCAGTAATTAATGTTTAGATTTGCCGTGACAAATAATCAGGGCTGATGCGGTAAGAGACCCATGGGTGCAGGATGGCTGGATGAAAACATATCATTTCCGATTATCATTGTACTGTTGGGGGCTGTCATCATTTCATTAGTTTACATCCGATTGGATGGAAAAGATCTGTACCCAGGTTTAGAGTGGCAAGCAAAAAACCAATTTACATCTCCCTCCTCTTTTGCTGCAGTGGAAACAGACCAAGTCTTTAGAAACTTGCACACAGACCTTAGTGGTACAAAATTGCAGGAGTGTGTGTGTGTGTGTGTGTGTGTGTGTGTGAAGAGAGTGAGAGAAGAAACTCATTACATTAAGTGTTGGGTGCAGAATTCAACTTCTTAGATGTGTCACCCTTCATTAAAATCAACAATCAGGTTTTCTAGCCCATATGATGGTTAAAAACAGGTTTGAAAGCTTGTGGGCAACACCTGCTGCATTTGCAGGAATCAGGGGAGTCTCTGAATAAGATCTGTGGGAAGCCAGAGGGTGTGGGGTTCAGGTCTCATTTCCCCCTCCCATGTAACTAGCAGGAGCAAAATAAATAATGCAAATCTGGAGTGATAATGCAAATGTGCTGGATTGAGTCTGGCTGCAGAACCAAGCATTCCTTGCCATGAAATGTGAGTCATGTTGGTGCAGAATTTTGTATTGAGCAGAGTCCTGGGTGTCATTGGATCCAACCCCAAGTAGCTCCATTGTTCATTAAGGAATTATCTCTCTCTTTTTTCCTCTTTCTACACTTTTCTTTTCTCTCTCTTGTTCTCTTTTTTCTCTTTGATTTCTTCCCTCTAAAGAACCCGCCCCTTCGATTGTCTTTCTTCTATCTTGCCAGGATGAAGCGGGCACAATTTGGACCTCATGACTGGCTCTCTTTCCCAGTGCCAACTGGGCCCAGTTGGTTCCTCATGGATAATCTAGAACCGGAGACTGCCTACCAGTTCAGTGTCTTGGCCCAAAACAAGCTAGGCACAAGCTCCTTCAGTGAGGTGGTCACTGTGAATACTTTAGGTGAGACTCAGAAGAGGACCTTGATGACTCAAGGTTCCATAAACCGAAAGAATGAATTACTAGCAGCGTCGTACCCAGTGTTATTCTGGAATTTTAAGAAACCAGAAAGCTTTCAAGGGTTCTCCAAACGGTTCAAAATGGTGTCTAATTGCATCCAAGCATAGACAAAAACCTTCTCATTGAGCTCAGGAACTGCCAAGCAGAATTTGGTGATGACATCTTAAGAAAGGGGGGGGAGGCACATGGAAATTTAGTGCTGTGCTTACTCTCAGTAAAAGTAAAAGGTTGAGCCAAAGGTGTCATGGAAGAGCAGAGCTTTGAGGAAGCAGTTAAGGGGCAGCAGGATAGGTGGCATAAAGCAGGTATTCTGAGGAAAACATTCTGGGCATAAGGGACAGTAAGGGTGAAATGGCAGAGCTTTTAAAGCAGAAGTGGTCAAACACTTTGGCAAATGTGCCACAATTCCAGTGTGAAACACAAGACCCATCACCGCCCCCATAGGTTTCTTGCGTCTGTTTTAAAAATATTTCTTTTCCCTTCCCCTTCTATCCCAACATTTTTTTTTTATCTTCAGCATTCCCTGTCACAACTCCAGAACCCCTGGTGCTGGTTACTCCACCAAGGTGCCTAACAGCCAATCGGACGCAGCAAGGAGTCCTTTTGTCATGGCTTCCCCCAGCCAATCATAGCTTTCCGATTGACCGTTATATTATGGAGTTTCGGGTTGGAGAAAGATGGGAGATTTTAGATGATGCCATCTTGGGGAGTGACAGTGACTTCTTTGCAAAGGATTTGACTCAGGTAAGTGGATGACAGATTGAACCTTAAAGTGTGGTGGTCTTTCTGGGAAATCTTGGAGTGAATTAAGTGTGCGAGCTTAATAGGAATTCCTTAATAAGAAGGCTAGTAATAATAGACAAGCTTCCCTGAAAGACAATTTGTCTCCCAAACTGTTTATCTTTCCTTGCAATGTTCTGCCACAGAGGAGTGTTGGGTATGTTCCAGGCTGCTCTCTGATGAACAAAATGAGGTTCCAGGAAGCCTGAGCAGCACTGAATATGAGCTTGTCTGTACATTCCAGAACAGTGTTCTTCAAGGTTGGGTCTCCAGATGTTGTTGGACTACATCTCCCATCATCCTCAGCCAGCTTAGCCAAGTGTCAGGGATGATAGGAGTTGAAGCCCAACAACATTTGAGGATCGAAGGTTGAAGAACATTATCCTAGAGCATAGCCCCCAATCTTCTGTAGAAGAGGTTCTACAGAAGACTGCAAAGGGTTCCTTGGCAAATAGGCCTTTGGAGCACCAGAAATGATGCCCTAATGATGCAAATTTCTAACACACTGCTCTTTCATTTGAGAAGTGTGGTTGACGTACTATCCATCTCTCCGGACTAGAGATGCTTCTGAAATTCCCATCCAAATTCCATTTTAAAAATTATGTATATCAAAATTTCTCCCTGGATTTGGGACTTGCAAATTACCTGGTCTTGGAACCAATGCATTAGTAATCCTCTGTGCTCCATTTTAATAATAATAATAATTCTCTCTGTTCTCTTTTATTATGTTTAATTTTATGTTATATATTTTTACCAGTATAAGCCACCTGGACGGCCCTTTTGACTGTGGACAGGTGGGGTATAAATGGTATTGTGAATTCAGTTTTACGAAGCAAGTGTTAGGTAATCAAGTGATATGTGTGTATATATGTTTGGTGTTAAATGGTCCCTAAGGAAACCCACTAAATACATTTTGGGGGCTTAATTGCTACACTCACTATCTCTTCGGAGACCCTAGAATACTCTGTTTTCTGACTTAACTACAAGTGTTGCAACCTAATGACTCTAGATACTAAAAGTGGCTACTCTCCCTGCATGTATAATGCCAATTCCTTTGCCACCACTGGGAAAATATATTGTTTCCAATTAAAAACTGAGTCCTACTGTCGACCACAGTTTGTGGCAGCATTCATTTTTCATGACAAATGTCAGCATTGGTTGTCAGGCAATGTTTGATAATGCACATATTTCATACCGTAGGACACATGGTATGAGTTCAGAGTTCTGGCTGTCATGCAAGACCTCATCAGTGAACCCAGCAACATTGCCGGCGTATCCAGCACAGGTAAGGAAGTGCTTTCTCCACCTTCCATTAAGCTTTTTCACCAGCCAAACCTAATCTGTGGATGGGCAAGATCATCACAAGGAATGGGTCCTTCTTGAGAATGGCCTCAGAACTGAGGAATTGTCCTGGCCCTCTCTGCCAGATGAAGAATTTGAACTCAGTTTTGTTTTTCTGCCAAATTATTTAATGCATAAATCTGAGTGATACATAGAGGAGGGTAAGGCTATCAATGGCTACTGGCCACAATGGCCATGCTCTGCCTCCACTATTGGAAGCAGTAATGCTTCTGAGGAGGGGAGAGTGTTATTTTGCTTGGATCCTGCTTATGTGTTTACCTTGGCATCTAGTTGGCCACTGTGAGAACAGGATGCTGGACTAGAAGTGCTCCTGGCTTGTGGTTCTCCAGAACTTGTTGGGCCATTCCTCCCACCATCCCTGACCATTGGCCATGCTAGCTGGGGCTAATGGGAGATGTAGTTTAACAACTTGTAGAGGGCCATAACGGACCTGTTAAATGTTCAAGGTGCCAGAAGCCTTGTTCCCCCCCCCCACATGGAGATGTGTTTGAGATGTTGACTGTTGTCCAAACCTCTTCAAAACTGCCTACCACAGCATGGCAGCATCAACCATTTCCCAATGAAATCTCCTCAAATGTGTGTGGTGAAGAGATGATGGAAGTAATTCCACTTGTTTATTCTTACTCTGACGGTCTCCCTGCAGAACAAGTGCCTGTAGCCATGTCTTAAGAGGCTCCCCTATTCTCTGTCTCTCCCAGACATATTTCCACAGCCAGAGCTGACTGATGAAGGCTTGGCCCGGCCTGTGCTGGCTGGAATAGTTGCCACCATTTGCTTCCTCGCGGCTGCCATCCTATTCAGCACTCTAGCTGCCTGCTTCGTCAACAAGCAGCGCAAACGGAAACTTAAGCGCAAAAAAGGTGAGTCTGTACCTTGCATTTCCTGGAAAATTAAGGCAATAATCACCTAGGCGTCAAGACAGCCTTATACTCAGAAATCTTGAGGAAATAGTTCTGGGATAAACATGCTGCAATCCAAGACACTTGCTTTCCTAGGCACAGAATATGTGTTCAAACTATTTCTCCTCCACCAAACTTAGACCGCATTTGCACCATCCACTTAAAGCACCATGATACTACTTTAAACACGTATGGCTTTCCCGAAAGAATTCTGGAAGGTGCAGTTGGTTAAAGTTCTAAACATTGTTAGGAGGCCCCCATTCCCCTCACAGAGCTACAATTTCCAGGGTTTTCTGTGAGGAGGAATTGATAGTTAAGCCATTCTGGGACTGGTAGCTCTGGGCAGGGAATAAGGGCCTCCTAACAACTCTCAGCACCCTGGACAAACTAACTCCCAGAATTCTTTGGGGGAAGCCATGACTGTTTAAAGTGGTATATCAGTGCGGTAAATGGATGGTGTGAATGTGGTCTTAAAATGTCTCTCTACACCCCCACTTGCCTACTTTGGTATCCAGCTAAGTTGTGTAATACTGTGTTTTAATATTAATGCATTGTGTTTTAATTGTTGTATCCTATCCTGGGACCTTATGGCAAAGTATGGTTAATAAATTGTAGTAGTAGTAGTAATAATAATAATAATAATAATAATAATAATAATAAGAGTAGTCCCGTTAAGACTAATGTTCTTAAGTTAGTCATGGCCCTTCATTTCAATGGGTCTATTAAATGTATGACTGACATTGGATATAATCACTAGATATGATGATAAGGCCTCAAAGAGCTAACCTGTTTCCACAGTGTCAGGTTGTATCATGGGGTGGGGTGTCACATGACCAAACGTTTAATAATAATACCACAAAGCATTTGATGTCTGGAAAAAAGAAGTTGACCTCGCCTTCTCCCTGATGTGCTAGTTTTATATTCAGTGCTACTATAAAACACTGATATGCAGTGTTAGGGCATGCTCTCCCTGCTGAAATACAAGAGGCCCTATCGTATTGGCATTCCACTGGCTTCTGTAGACAAACCTGTGCAGGCAAGCATTTCCCAGAACTTGAACTTTGTGTTTTGTTTAAATAATATTTTTAATGAGCTTTTTTTCTTGTGTATTTTAATGATGGATGTTTTTAATGTTTTTTTATGGAATTCCTTTGTTGCATATATTGCATGTGTGTGTGTGTGTGTTTTATAATTGATGTTATACTTGTAAAGTGCTTAGAAACCATTTTGACATGTAAGCAGTGTATAAATTAATAGATGATGATGATGATGATATGTGCAGCAGCATCTGGTCATGTGGAGAAACATTTAATGTTGTGAACACCTGTAATAGTGGGGATACCCAGCTTACATTGGCTGCAAGGGTGAGCTTCTTGTTCTGTTTTTCATTGTTGGAAAAGTAAGAAACAGGGTGCTTCATTCAATGTTGTCCTTTCAACTCTTTTAATTATTTCTCCCACACCCCCTTTATATTTTCCAGACCCTCCTCTCTCAATAACCCATTGCAGGAAGAGTTTAGAGTCTCCGTAAGTATCTGTGTGTTGGGGGGGGGGAAAGCAGAAGAAAATCTATGAAATCATCAGTTAAAAGCAGCCATTCCCCTTGAGAGTTACACTTCCCAGAGTTCCCTGGGAAGATGGATTAAATGGTTAAACCACCCTGAGAAATGTAGGAATAGAAGGGTTTCCTAACAACGCTCAGCACCCTTAACAAGCTTCATCTCCCAGAATTATTTAGGGGAAGCCATGATTGTTTAAAGTGGTATTGTGGTGTTTTAAACGTATGACGTGAATGTGGCCTTTGCAAAGGAGAAGTAATATTAATAATGATGTCCCACCCTAACTTCTGCTTATTCATTTTACATCCAGTTAACGGGTTTATGTTATATAGTGCTCATACATCCTTTTATTCAAACTGTGGTATTAAGCAAACTACAGACGTTGGTCTCCTCTGTGATCCATTATTAAAATTATGCCCCCCCCTTTTCTATGGCACAGGTTGTCCTCTGGAAAAGTGAGCCCCGAGAGCATCCGGACGCTCCGTCCCCCCTCCGAATCTTCCGATGACCAGGGCCCACCTGGCAAGCGGATGCTTAGCCCCAGCAAGGAGAAGGAGCTCTCCCTTTACAAGAAGACCAAGCGAGCCATCAGCAGCAAAAAGTACAGTGTTTCCAAGGCTGAGGCAGAAGCTGAGGCGACCACCCCCATCGAACTCATCAGCCGCGGGCCAGACGGCCGTTTTGTCATGGATCCTTCGGAGATGGAGCCCTCCCTCAAGACCCGCAGAATAGAGGGCTTCCCCTTTGTGGAGGAGACGGACATGTACCCGGAGTTCCGCCAGTCCGATGAAGAGAATGACGACCCTGTGATGCCTGCCTCTGTGACAGCCCTCAAGTCCCAGCTGACGCCTCTCTCCTCCAGCCAGGAGTCTTACCTTCAGCCACCAGCATACAGCCCAAGGTTTCACCGGGGTCTGGAGGGGACGGGCACCATGGAGAGCCGCCTCCAAGCCACTGGCCAGGCCAGGCCTCCTGCCCCCAGGCCATTCCACCACGGCCCGTATTACGGTTACCTCAGCAGCAGCAGCCCCGGCGAGATGGACCCTCCGCCTTTCTACATGCCGGAGGTCAGCCCCCTCAGTTCTGTCATGTCCTCCCCTCCTCTGCACCCAGAGGGGCCTTTTGGTCATGCCACCATCCCTGAGGAGAATGGAGAGAACGCCTCCAACAGCACGCTGCCCCTGACCCAGACTCCGACGGGGGGCCGGTCCCCTGAGCCATGGGGCAGGGCCGAGTTCCCTTTCAGCGGCCTGGAATCGTCGCCCATCATGTTCCCCCACCAGCTCCACCAGTGCGAAATGGCCGAGAGCCTGCAGCCAAAGGCCAGTCTTCCTAGGGGACCACCACCTTCCTCGCTCCAGGTCCCCACATCCTACCCTGGCATCCTGGCCCTGGAGGCACCAAAGAGCTGGACTGGCAAGTCGCCAAGCAGAAGCCAACCTTCCATGCCCACCACCGCCAAATGGCAGGACAAATCTATGCAACCAATGGCGAGTCAAGGGCAGCTAAGACACACCAGTCAAGGCATGGGCATACCTGTGTTGCCTTACCATGGGCCGTCCGAGTCAGTCAGCCACAGCGGCACAAGCACATTTGGCCTGGACACCAGGTGGTACGACCCCCAACCCAGACCTCGGCCCAGCCCCCGGCAAGCCAGGAGGGCTGAGCCCAGTTTACATCAGGTGGTGCTACAACCTTCGAGGCTTTCCCCCCTGACCCAGAGCCCCCTCAGCTCCCGCACCAGCTCCCCAGAGCTGACAGCGCGGGCCAGGCCACGGCCGGGCCTCATCCACCAGGCGGAGATGTCTGAGATCACTCTGCAGCCTCCGGCGGCCGTCAGCTTCTCCCGCAAGTCCACCCCGTCAACAGGATCCCCTGCTCAGAGCAGCCGGGGAGGAAGCCCCAGCTTCCGGCCAGCCATGGCTTTCACTTCTCTAGCCACCGGCTATCCCCCCCCTCAGTGCCCTTCCCTGCCCGTGGAGCCCATAGACGTCTTCGGACAAATCCCCTCTCCAAGGAGGGGAGGGGAGGACATTCTTAGGCCGGAGCCGACACCGACAACCAGTTCGGGGTAAGTGTGTGTGTGTGGACATTGCCTGCTTCCCCTCCCCCCCAGCCTCTCTCTCCCTCCCCGCCTCACCTGCTCCCATCCCTTCCCCACAACTTCTTCCCCTGCCACCATCACCTGAATCCATGTCGAGGCACGCTGCAGCAACTTTTTTGGAGATGGCCTCCAGCTGGGATTTCTAGTATTATTTTCCCCCTCCCTTCCCCAGTCAAGTTTTGCAGTGTTGGGCCACCCCCTGCCAATATCCATTACCCCCTCAGCATGGGCGATTAGATCCATAGGGTCCCTGGCCTTTGGGACTGTTGGGAATTGTGTACTGTTGGTTAGCTCAAGGGCTCTCCCTTTTCCTCCCCCATCACAAGAAATAAAAATATTGAAGCTTTCATTTTTGTTTGGGAGTCACGTGCCGGGATGAAATGAAGAGGGTGTCCAAATGTCTAAAAACTGTAGGTTCAGGTGGTGTTTCTTTTCGCTTTGCAACTGGGTCAGCGAGCCCCAGATATTACCAGTATTTTCCTCTTCTAGTTCCTGGCTGTTTACTTTCCTGGGACATTAAGGCCTTGAGGCCCGCTCTTTGCCTTCTTCACATCCTTCTTTTACCCCCCGAGAGGGTTTGTCATCTTCCATGAACGAAACATGGCCGCACAAGCCGCCTTTTTCCACAACATCTCCAAAAGGGGTGCTGCAGCCCCACCCACAAGACTTGGGCGAGGCGAGAGAAACAAAGACATTAGCCACATGAACAGCTTGTAAGGAGAGGACCAAAAAATTAAAAAAGTCAAAATCTACCCCAAACACACAGAAGTCAAATCAGGAAGCCGCCAGCACCCTCGGATCCTGTCCATGCAAGGGATTGCAGCTGGCCAATTACCTCCAGCAGCTGGTTTTCCAGGTACCAGGGTTGCACCAGGCAAAGCGTCTTCTCTTTCTTTCCGTTTCTTCCTTCTCCTCCCCACACCTCTGTCTTTCACACTAACTGTAGGTGCGTTCTCCTTCCATCCTTTTGTCTTTGTTGAAACAATTTTTTTGTTCTCCATGTAGTGGAGTTTGACTCCCCTTGCCCCCTCTCTTGATCCCCCAGCGTTGTGGAAATGAGTGGTGGTACCCTGCCCCCCGCCCAAATGACTTGATGGAAACATGTGTAGATCAATTTGGATCAGGAGGGAGAAGTGACTCAACAGCAAGCAAGGAACAAAGGGTGGGCTGGTTAGACTGTGTGGTCGGCCTGGTATGTGATCCCAAGCAGTGGTTGTGGTAGGGTCATTGTAGAGCAAAGGTGTGAGACTTGAGTATAGCGTGGGAAGCTGGCTTTTCACCCCCTTGCCAAACATCCTTGCATTCTACCTATACTCTCTGGTACCTGGAAGCACTTAAGTCTTTGGAGACCTATTTAGCAAGGTTATTGGTTGCTGCTTCAGGAGATTGGACCCAAGGGATAGGAGACATGTCTTTGCACTAAACTGCTGAAGGGCGCTGTAAACGACTAGCAAAATGAAAGCAACCTCTGTTACTTTAAACCTATGCTTGTATAGACAATCTGAAACCTAATGGATCCAAGACTTCCACTTAAAGACCACATATGGGAACATATTAGGACACTCTCGAGCAGTGTTCTTGAATATTGGGCTCCCATATATTGTTGATCTACAACTCCCATCATCCCCGACAATTGGCTTAGTTGGCTGGGGATGATGGGAGTTGTAGTCCAACAGCATCTGGGGATCCAAGGTTGAAGAACACTACTCTAGAGGACACGTCCACACTACAAACTTCATACCATTCTAACTGCCATGACTTCCCCCGAAGAATCATGGGAATTGTAGTGGTTTTTCAGCTGAACACTTCCTGTTAAGAGATCCCTAACCCACCTTTACCCTCTCACAAGTGTGTCAAATTTAATTTTAATGTGTCAAATTTCTCCCCATTAATGGTACCCCCAAACCATTCACTGTCCTACTTGATGTTGAGGCTGGCCCTACCCTCCTCATGCAAATGCAGTTCCCAGGCTTCCCTGGAAGGAGGAAATGAACGTTGAGCTGGCTTCAGGTCTGCAGCCTGAAGCTTTCTGCAGGTCTGCAGCTTTCTCTGTGTTAGCGCCCTGTTGTCTGTGCTTTGAAGCCATGCCTTCTATACGCTTTCGCCATCCTTTCTTTTGTTTCCATTTCTTTCCCCCTTTGTTTTTCCAGCATTGTTTGTTTGCTTCTTTTGTGTTTCGGTTTCTTTCCCCCTCACTTTTCCTTTTGGATTTATTTTATTATATTTTTTTTCCCTCCTCCGTTTGACTTGCTGATGTCTTGTGGAGCTTGGCTCCTTGCGGGTGTTGATAACTGCTTTGTTTTTGATTAATCTCAGCTATCTGGGCAGTGTTGTCGAGACAAGCCACTCCTCAGCTCAATAGGTAAGGGCGATCAATGTCTGGAAGGATGGTGCTGTGGGGCGTGGTTGGGGAGAGGGGCATGGGAGGGGATTCCAAAGGAGGGGGGCTCTTTTCAATAACATATATCTATATATCTATACATTTCCTTTAAAGGGGAATAAGGTATTGCAAAATCCAGGACAAACCTTTGCACACTTAGTCTTTGTGGCTTTTGGGTTTCCCCATTCTCTTGTACATCTCCCTCTCTCTATAAGCATCTCCCTCTCTCTATATCAGCCAAACTTTTTCAGCCCACTGACCCCTTGATTCCAGAAACTCTTCCCCAGTGCCCCCTACTCTATAAAAAGCATTGCTCAGAATAGCAGTTTGCCTTAGTAACAATAAATTGAACATGTATCCAAAATCCAATTTAGTTTAATTAATTCAACAAAACTAATTAACTTGATCCAGTGATACCAGCTTTTCTAAGTTAAAAAGTTATTTACACCTCTCACACCTCCCCCCTGCTGCCCCCTTGCTTCTCAAGAGTGTGCCCCATCACCAAGGACCACAATAAATGGGTATCAAGTGGAGCAATGCGACTGAAGCAGTGAGCTCAGGTTCTAGCCTAACACTTTTAACCGCCATACCAGTCAGAAGTTCCAAACCCCGTTCTTCAGAGACCCTCCCATGTAGCTTGCTGTGTATGAGATTGTATTACCCATCTCTTCCCCATACTTAATGAGCAGGCTGGCCTTACCATTAGGCAGAGTGAGGCAGCCACCCCAGGCAGCTGATTTTGGGTGTCATGAAAGGGCAGCAAACTGCTAACTCCCCATTTATGCATACTATATTTGATGTGACGGTGCACATGCAACATGCCACAAACCCAGAAGTGGAACCTGGAAACGTGGAGCGCCCTGGAGAGTCTTCCTGGCTCACCAGCAGACCTTCTTTGGGCTCTGGGGAGGGTCTCCTTGTGAGCCAGTAGGACTCTCCAGGGTGCTCCATTTACACACAGGGAAGCCTGGAACAAAACCGCTGCATAAACTGGGAGATGCCTCTATTTCATTTATAATTATTTTTAGTGATGGGGACAGGGAGCATAGAATCATAGAATCATAGAGTTGGAATAGACTACAAGGGCCATCGAGTCCAACCCCCTGCCAAGCAGGAAACACCATCAGAGCACTCCTGACATATGGTTGTCAAGCCTCTGCTTAAAGACCTCCAAAGAAGGGCTTTGGGATGTTCTGTCTCGTGCCAAAATGATTGTCATGGCCTTGAGAGCTGTGCACCTTGACTGTCAGGAGCGGGAGGAGCCTTTTGCAAGACCCATATCCTCCAATTTTTTTCTGATGAAAATAAAGACATCCCCTGCAACATTTTTCCGAATGAAAATAGGCACATCCTATTCCATTCCCTCCAACATTTCTCCAATGAAAATAGGGATGTCCTAAGAAAAAGTGGGACATTCCAGGATCAAATCAGAAACCAGGATGGCTTCTGTAAATCTGGGACTTTTCCTGGAAAATAGAGGCACTTGGAGGGTCTGCGAGACCCACTGATAGAATCTCAAACCGCCAGCCTTGGGTGGCAACATGCCAAATACTGGATGAAAACACTTTGTTCTCACCATTCTTCTTAGCAAAATAGCAAAAGGAGAGGCTTTGACAGAACCCCTAGTAGTCTGCTGTAAAGGCCTGGTTGGCTTTGCTTGCCCAAAAAATGACCACAAATTGTGCAGGCACTGATTTATGTCCTGCAACATTGATCTACTAGGAGTCTCTCCTTAAACGAGAGAGGCTGGGCATTTCTGCCCTGTGTGAAAACCGGCAGATGATAAGCGACTGCATACTCTGTTGTTATTTAAAAAGAGACTCCATAAAGAAGAGAGGCAAGTGATAGCTTTATGATTTGGGGTTGTAAAGTTGTCAGTGGGTGAAGCGTTGCTGGGCACTTTATGACCAGGTCAGTATACAGCCATCCCCACCCGCAAGCACACATGCACACAACCCCACTGTTTTATGGAGCCATAAAAACTGAAGAGGGACATGGTTTATGAGATTTGTGCAGACGCCTTAGATCAGCTCACTTCCACGGCGGGGATGCAGACAAATTTGGACAGGCATCTGGAGCATTGCCGTCAGTGTCTCTGGATGACTCTCTCTTCTGCAACATAAAAAACCCAGTGCCGTCTTCTAAGGACTGGGGAATGGATTTCAATACAAGGTCATGCCAGGGGAACTGCAGGCCAAGTTACACTTAAGATCCTGGGTGATTTATTCTAGGCCTCCCTAATGGAAGGCCCATTAATACCCAGTGGCAGCTTGGATGGGACTGCTATACCAGGCTCCTTAGTCCACCCCCTACTGCAGTCTTTTGCAGCTTGGCACCCTCCAAATGTTTTGGGACTCCCATCAACCCCAGCCAATGGTGAGGGATGATGGTAGGTGTAGCCTCAACAGCAATATCTGGAGGGCCACAGGCTCCCCATTTCCTGCCTTGGTAGATCACATGACCAAAAGATGGGAAGCCACTTTGAATCAGGTTGGACCATTTCTCCCTCTAGCCCAGATTATCCTTTCTGACTAGCAGCAGCTTTCCGGGATCTTGGGAGGAGAGTCTTTATCATCACCTGCTACCT